TGCACTTTATATATATTTTTCATATATACTAGAGTAGATTGGTCATCTGAGTTTGACTCCCAGCTACGGCCAACATCAGCGGTGTGCGATTTCTGCAACCAATACTGCCCCAAACCCTCTCCATCCGACTGCTTCAACAATTAGCGTGGTGAAATATGGTCAAAGAACCACCTTGGCGGATACGGTGTGGGAAGGTTCTCATCCAGCAGTGGATTGATAAAAAGGCTGCACGTTATTAATAGATTCTAAGTCTACTCTGCAATGCTGGCCAGGTGGGTCTGATTAGTCCACCACACATTATCTTAACTGCCCTTTGGATTGTAATAATAATTTCAGCGTTATATAGCGCAATTCATACTAATTGCATCTCACTCGGCTGTACAATAATAACATGCAATAATTGTATGCAATAGTCACGTTAAAGGCTAAAGCCTATTTACAGAAATGATTCAGCAAGTAAAAGAAAACAGAAACACTCAGAAAATTAAATAACTGAATGAACAAATAAAGAAATGGTATAAAAACAAAACAACAATGAAGCTATCACAAGAGGACATCTCTCTATCCCGCTGCCTCTAGACCTGTGTTGCTCAACTCCACTCCTCGCCAATTCCCCTTCCACCCAACCACGAGTCATCGGTTGTTTTTCGTCTTTCCCAATATTTTATCTTCATTGGCAAATTAAGCCGCTGCACTTACCCCCAAGCACCCGATGGTTGGGTAATCACGGAAAGCCCGAGGATTGAAATTGAGAAGGACTCCTACGGACTGCAAGCCCGGGCACACTTCTGTGATATTATCCCTGCATTGTACGCGAGCTACAGAGTCGCATGAAGTTGCCACCGTACAACGATTCGCACACTAGACTTGCAACTCAGAGGTCCCCGGTTCCATTAGATTTCCCCAGAGCAGAAGTTGAAACAATGGAGCAACTATTTGTTATTGTTGTTGTTGTTTAATTCTCCCCCCCGTGTCCACCCAGCAGTATAAATGGGCCCACCACAGTTAGTCGATCGGCAGGACGTGTGTGGTGGGGTAAGTGTAAGAACATCCACCTCGTCCGAGATGTCTGGCCAAGCATTAAAAGGGTATGCAACATACCCCCTAGGAGGGCTCCCGAGAGCTCCTTCTAGCTGAGGCCCTTCCATCAGCAGTGGCGTGAGAAAGCCATTGCAGGGCTGCGCCATTATTCTTCCACATTCACTCTTGCTCCACGCATTCAACGCGATGCCTCTCACGTAATTATTTGACTGACATTTTTTGTACAAAAAAGATTCTGCCAGATATGAACAACGATTTTTTTTTTTACGTGTAAAGCGATGCTTTAAAATTGGAGAGGTTTTTTTTTTCTCAGTATTTTTACACAGAAAATAGGGCTATCACCCTAGTTAAAATAAAGGTCATGTATGCATTATATATATTTAAAAATAATTCAAGAGTGCACTCCATAATCCCCGGCAACATGACACCCACGATCTTAAGGAGCGATCCTTTCTTCGTCGGAATATTTGGACGTTCAACGCCGTGAATGAGAGAGGGTGGCGCACAACAGCTTATTTACAAATTAATATATTTTTTGACATCGTCTCTCGCCCACATAGACCCTAATCTGCTTAGCGCGGTGTTAGACTGTACACGAGTCTATTAAATTGGTTCAATTTAATTAGACGTTCTCTCGAAATAACCTTGCACGCCGCGTCTATACATTACCGGATCTCTGTATTTTTTTGGTGACGACTGCTTTATCGCGGTGTGCTCGGGAGGAGCGGTGATAGATACAGCCAAAGGCGTTCGCTTTAATGATAAGAACGATGCCTTTACATTGATACAAAGTGCTCCTTTACGTGGCCTCATTAATGCATCCGATGAAATATTTGGCTGCTGCAGATCAGGCTTTGAGTGTTCAAAAAAAATTATCGTACCGTGTTCAATTTGAAACGTGGCAACAGATCTCTTCGGGGTTTTTTGTTGTTGTCGCATTTTTCAAATGTTGCCGTTTTTAAAACGTTTAACAACTTCCATGTTGACAGACCCCACGCTAAGCCAAGAGCGCCTCCTACTGAACGGGAATTCATCCACTGATGGTTAGTTGCAGCCATTCGTGGCAAACCGTGGGAAGAAACAAACGCTGTTCAAGAGATATCTTGTTATGGAAACCCCCCAAGAAGACCTGTGACATAAAAAAAGATAGATCAGATTTCCACTGAACACACGCCAGAGATATTCGTCCGTAGAAATTCGCCGCCGCCTTCAGTGCAATCGACGATTTCAACAGCTAACAAACAAGGGCCTCTCTCGCATGCAATCAAAATGTGGTCTGTTACCAACAATAATTCCGACCTTGCAATGATTTCCCATTGCGTTATACCGCCGCTTACCGGCGAAGGGTGAGGAATGCACGAGAAGTCTCTCCCACGACCTCATTCCCTCGCACCATGTCGTGGGGCATTTTGCACGCGGCTGTTGGCTTTGAGCCGAGATGCAAAAGCAATCCAAGATGTTGTTCGTGTTACTCAGGACACAAGCGCAGTGAGCATATGGATATCAGTAGGGAAAGGACACGTGCAAATTTGAATTCTTTCCAAATGAAGAAGAAAAAAATCGAGTTAAACCCAAGTGCCCTGTCTTTGTAAGGCCTTGTTAGGGGGAGTGGTGGCGCAGTTATTAGCGTGCTTCACCATCAACCCGGCAAGCAGAGTTTGATTCCCGGCCACGGATAACATCGGTGGTGAGCGATATCTGATCCAGTCCTTCCCTTCACAGCCCCAGCCTCTCCATCAACTTCACCGACCCACGCCGAGCAGTGAGCAGTACGGTCGAGCAACCTCCACCCCTCCCCCCACGACTCACAACAGAACTCCGTCCAGCAGTGGATTTACAAAGGGTTGTACATCCTCAACAAAGACGTTAATTGAACAACAGAAATAAGGAGGGCTGCCCGATGAGTGATTTGACACTGCACGGTATATTCATTCATAAAACGCAGACTGACACTGCAAATGAGGTGAATGTGGCTCAATGGAATTGCGCCATAACGAGTGGGGTCACCAGGGGCATTTAAAGGGGTTAAGGCCCCCAAACGTGATTCTGACATTTTCCCATCACAACAGCGGGTGGACCTTAGCACGCGTAGGCCAGCGGGCACAACAATTAATGGTACTTTACATTTAACACTCAATTTCCCAATGCCGGTCGACGATTGTGAGTGCATTAAAAATAAATCAACTCAGCATTTGACTGCATCGGTTCATACCCGTTGAATATGTTACGTTCCAACTAAAAAGTACAAGAGCGGAATATGTGCATCTAGGTTAACAGATGCTGGGGGTGGGGGGGGGCAGAGTGGAATCAACATTCTTGTGAAATCAAGAGGTGGGCAAAAGCAGGTTTGGAGTGCTGTTCGAAAACTGAACTTGGCAAAGAAAACATTTCACGTCACCCCCCCTCCCCCCCCACTTATATCACAACAACAAAAATATAACGGGGCCTCACAATGTGTGTCACTTCATGGAACAAAACACACGCGCGCACGCACGCACGCATCGAGAAATTCCCAGCAACTGTACGCGCCCACCTGTGGACTCGGTGGCAGTGAATGTAAGCAGCAGGCTCATGCCCTGCTCGTACGCATCCGGTGCAGGCACAAACAACTCGGTGGGTAGCTCATGCGTATCTGCACCCAAAAATAAAATGTGACCAAAACCACAACCGCTAACACACACGCACACATACAGTTACACGCACCGTTCTTATTCAACAGTTGCACGGTTTTATATATTTTTTATGGACGGCTTCATAGCAACGCCCTTGCAAACAGGAACATCTTGGGAATGAAACCACGTGTGCGTGTGCGCGAACGTTCAAGCGGGGAGCGGTAGTGTAGCGGTTAGCGCTACGCTGCGCTATTAACCTGGCTGACCCGGGTTCGATTCCCGCTCACGGCCAACACCGGTGACAATTATCTGAATCGGTCCTGGGCCTCCCCCTAGGTCGACTCAGCCTCAAATGATTAACTGGTGCGATGTGTGAGCATCGTCACTCGGGAGACAAAGGCGGCCGGGCGTGGTGTTGGCCGGCCTTCATAGGTGCTCGCTAACAGCACTTGCCCCAACAGTCTGTTAAGGCTAGACGGGGAATCTTTGTTCGAGCCACAGACCCGAGGTTTTGTTGACAATACAGTCAACAGTCATGACCCGAAATCAATTGGGAGATCCACAGTCTACCATAGGACTATACAGAATGTGCATGTATATAATGTCTACGTATTTATTTTACACATATATACTGCACGCATGGTTACAAATGTTTACCTCCGAGTTACAGCCGTAGCCAACGAAACAGTCTGGAAATTGATTGAAAACAAGAGTCGAATCGTTCCTGAAACCGACAGGAGGGAGAATATGTATGTGTGTGCTGCTGTGGGAATCGGTAGAGTAGTGGTTGACGCGCTGCCGCCGCTGCGAACTCGGCGAACCGAGTTCGACTACCCGCTCACGACCAACATAGGTGACGAGTTTCTGAGCCGGTCCTGGGCCTCCCCTAGGTTGACTGAGCCTTACAAATGAGACGAGCGCGTCTGGGCGTGATGTTGGCTACCCGACCCCTTGCATGGAGGCCGCGTGGGCCTTCACACGGGTGCTCGCTAACAGCACTTGCCCAAAGAGTCTGTTAAAAGCTGTACGGAGGGTCTTTGTGTGTAAGATTAAACAGTGTTGCAGCCGAGTTCCGACTGTGGTCTACGAAACAGTATATAAACGGCTTTGCCCTAATGTCATGGGGCATGTTTTTTTGCGCGTAAAGAGCTCACTAATTGGAAATTTGGGCATTACTGTTCAGCAAATGTTCAGCTATGAGTCCGCAATGAAAAAAGCTGCCATCTCGGGAGACAATTTTAAAACCGTTAAAAGAGAGATGAGACATTATTAGGGGTAATGTGTGTACCAAATTAGAGAGCGCTGATAAGTGCGGATGACTTGATTATGAGTTTATGACATTTAATGGTAATTATCCTAATTTTGAGAAGAAAAAAAACCCTTGTACATAATACCTTGATTCAAAGCACCTGCAGAGCGGGATGAGGTATCTGTGCAACTAATTACACAGCCTCTCCAGAATGCCACCCTTCCAGCAATTATTACACGGCAGGATATATCGTCAGTAAAATGAAGTTATGTTGTCATTTGAGGTGGAAATTATTATACATTTTTTCATCTAATTCATTCCAATTAGTGAAGGTTCACGATAATGTAGGCCAAATATATGAGTTGTTTGTCAATTTTCATCCATGGAAATCACTTGCTGTTGTTAAGTGTGCTTTGTTAATAACAAAAGAACCCGCACGTGGGGTGTTTGTGGTTTTGTGAGGCTGACGAAAGCGGGGCAGGAAGGAAGTCTGTACCCGGGTTAAATATCGAAACGAGAGCGGCTTGCAGCGAAGGGGGGTTGGCATTTTGAATTCCACCAAAATTCGTTCTGAGATCGACTCCCTGAGCGGATATTGACGAGACGTGACTTATTAACCAACGTTGGTGGTTTGTTTTCTTCAAAATATACAGTAGCATACGAACTTGTGTTGTTGTTTATATAGTTAGCTGTGTTTTTGAATTGTAATATTTTATTTTATACCTCTGACATGAGCGACAGCTTCGAAGACAACTTTTTGAATTTGCTCTTTGAGCAATCGGTGGTGAACCGGTCAGCTGAGTCCACGCAAGGTGAGTGGAACGCTTCATTTTATATTTGTGACGTTAACGTCCTTGTAAAAAAAAACAACCCCTATGCCTTGACATCCCTATTGACAGCGGTAATGGGAAACGGTATGCCAGCTCCGAGCTGCCAAATTAAGAGAAGCCTCCCCCTGTCGGCGCACACAACCCTTGGTTAATTTTCGCGCCACAAACGTTGCAAATTCGTGAATTGGTGCGATAAAATTAACAGCGGTGGGCCCCGCTCCTGTGACTTCTCTCTCGCGGCGATGACATAAGACAATTGACAACATTTTTTTTTTCAGTGGCTCAATTAGATGTTTTGATTGCTCACGCTACGCGCAGAATATACCTATATTTTGTTCTTCCTCCTTTAAACAACAGCAACTCTCCTCTCTCGCGCGACGCCCGCGACCACTTCTCGTTCGCACGCCGTGGCCACGGCCCCGCGTGTGCCCCCCCCCCCCCCCCGTGTGCCCCCCCCCCCGTGCCCTCGCGCAAAAAGACTCGCCCGCTCCGCCGATCGGCGCCGCGCGCCTGCGGTGCCGCGCGGCTTGGCCGGAGCGCGTTGAGCCCCACGGCCGTCTGCGCCTCGCGCGTTCTGCCTCCGTGCAAAGGCAACGCTCGCAGTTGAGGACGAAGGAGGAGGAGGAGGAGGGAAGGAGGTCGTGGCTGTTAAACAAACACTGCCATTGTTCATACAGCTTGCATGCCCGCTCTCTCGCGGTCGCGCCGTTATCAGCCGTCGGGATTTGCTTTCGGTTTGTGCCGCGTGCCGCTCGGGATGAGCTTCGTCCCACGTGTTGCTCCCACGTGCTGGGACGTTTCCTTGAGGAAGCGAAATTGGAGAAGCTCCCAGCGCTCGGAGCGAAACGTCGTAACATCATGCTGAAGAGCACGCAGTGTAATCCCAAAAGTCTACAGCTATGCTGCCATTAATAGGCAGAAAAGTCAGTCAGGCGCCTTGCGCCAATTTTAAGCTAATCCCTCGACTATTTCAATGCTAAATTCTCCTGCTCTGATATGTAAACTCCTTTGTCAAGGCTCTTCACGCTTCTCACCGAGCTTAAAAAGACGCTGCGAATCTTAGCAGCGTTAATTGAAGCTCTGTCGTCCCGACAGTTCTGTTCTTTCACCTGAAGAAGGCTGCTTGTGTTGTGGCCGAAACGTCGTGAGAATTTTATTGTGTTATTTTATTTTATTATTTTATTCTCATTCTACGTGACTTTACCGAAAGAACCAAAGAAGACTTGCGCCAATGTCTGCGGAATTGCGACGCGCTGCCGTTGCTACAACTGTGCAGGAGTGTCCATATCACTCCATTCACCGATCAATTCAAGAACAGCTTAGAGATCTTAACTTTTTCAAGTTTGCTACGACAGTTGTGTGAAGAAGCAGATGGATTACAGAATTTTCAAATTGTTACATTGTATGAACTTGTATATTGCACTTTAAATTGTTTTTTCTAGATCTGTGGATATTTGGGAAATATGTTCAACCATTTTGGCTTGCACCGCTATATGTATTGGGGTGCGAAGTTGCGGTAAAAGTATTAAGTTACAATGATGATGAATATAATTGCAGGCAGTGGTTGAGTAAAAATGTGCACGTCTGTAGTGAGGAGACTGAGTGTGCCTTTGAGCTAGAACCATTCGTTTCTTAGGGTTCTCCTGTGTATTTCAGTCACGTGGAGTTTTGCTTGAGTCAGAGTCGCGGGCATAATGAGTCTAGTTAACGCATTAGGGGTACGTCCACCTTCCACTTTCTCAACTTGCGAGGTTGTTTTGTATTCGACTATAACTGCTAATCGCTTTCACTCGCAATATCAATTTCCTCTTGGTAAAGTCACATTTAGACACTTCCTGTTTCTAGTTCACAACTACCTCAATGCTTTCAATGGGATCAAATGCCGTACCCATTTTCATGAAAGAATGGGTTTTTTTTTCCAACCTGTTAGAAATAGTAAACTCACTGTCTTCTTTCTCTCGTATGGAATTTGAGCGGGCAAGCCATTATCACGAAATTAGGGGCCACTTGATGTTTACCACTGCAATACGTGTATTTAATCTACTGTACAATTCCTGGTGGTTTTTAATGCACCATTACTAAAAAAAAATAACACTTCACGCAATTCAAGTCTGGGTGAACGTGTGGCAGTATCTGTCACCGAACCATCATCATCATAATAATAACCATCAACCATGATCAAAATAATCGTGCAATTTGTAATGTGAAACAATTTCGCGAAACAGAGTCACTGCGCGATCGCAAACACTCGGGAGGCGCGAGGAACAGTCTGCCGAATAAGTACGGCCCCTTCAGCAGACTCCTAAACGTAGACGTTGGGAGTTGTGGAATGCTTCGTATGTGGGGCGGCAGAAAGTTCTAAATGACCGGAGCAGGCCAGGGAGAATCGCCGCTCGGCCAGGACGATCGACAGAGACGATCTGTTGGATTTGGCTTTGCGTAATGCTGCGTTTAGGAAGAATCTACGGGAGTTAACGAGGAAATAAAATCACCGTAATGGCATTGATGCCGATAGCAGAGACATTTCAAGTGCATATTTAAGGGACTGCATTTTCAATGGTGAACAGACATGCACCATTGCTAATCCACTGCTGGATGAGGGCCTCACACCGTGCTGGTTGTGGGGATTATTTGACCATACCTCACCATGCTGGTCAGTGCAGGTTGTTGATGGACGTGGATTTTCCACCACTTTCTTCAGTTGTCCAGCTTGTAGCTCCACAGCTTCTAATAAGTGGCCATGCACGGTGAGCAATCATCCAAACACGATCCAGGATCTTAGCTTCCAAGATATGAGATCAGATGCATCTGGGAGATTTGATCAAAGGCACGGTGAAAAAGCAAACATTAAATCAACATGAACTCACAACCTTTGCCATTAATATTGCCTCGTTATAGACAATATACCTTTGGCTGATGTTTTGGGCAGTGTCCATTAAACGGCGTAGAGAGAAGGATCACGCCTTCACACCACGTACTTCCAGAACTGTGAATTATTTTGGTGGCTTATAATCTTCCACAACATTTCCAATGATTCCATACATGTAAGGTTCAATCTACGAAAATAACTTCGTAAATCTGTCTTGCCCAAAACCTTGAATACATTTTTTCGTGACACAAAGCCATCCCAGAAGGTCTGCCAGAAATATGATGAGCAGCTTCAAACTGTCAAGAACAGTCAAGTTGCGCTTGGGTAGAAGACGTCGCTGGGGGATATGATAACCGATGGTCAAAAATAACGATGGAGGGGCGGCTAATGAAAATAACGATGGAGGGGCGGCTAATGAATGAAATGTGTCCCAGAGGATGTCCGTTGGGGAGATACAGTGAGGGGAAAAAAGTATTTGATCCCCTGCTGATTTTGTACGTTTGCCCACTGACAAATAAATGATCAGTCTATAATTTTAATGGTAGGTTTATTTGAACAGTGAGAGACAGAATAACAACAACAAAATCCAGAAAAATGCATGTCAAAAATTTTATAAATTGATTTGCATTTTAATGAGGGAAATAAGTATTTGACCCCTCTGCAAAACATGACTTAGTACTTAGTGGCAAAACCCTTGTTGGCAATCACAGAGGTCAGACGTTTCTTGTAGTTGGTCACCAGGTTTGCACACATCTCGGGAGGGATTTTGTCCCACTCCTTTTTGCAGATCTTCTCCAAGTCATTAAGGTTTCGAGGCTGACGTTTGGCAACTCAAACCTTCAGCTCCTTCCACAGATTTTCTATGGGATTAAGGTCTGGAGACTGGCTAGGCCACTCCAGGACCTTAATGCGCTTCTTCTTGAGCCACTCCTTTGTTGCCTTGGCCGTGTGTTTTTGGTCATTGTCATGCTGGAATACCCATCCACGACCCATTTTCAATGCCCTGGCTGAGGGAAGGAGGTTCTCACCCAAGATTTGACGGTACATGGCCCCGTCCATCGTCCCTTTAATGCGGTGAAGTTGTCCTGTCCCGTTAGCAGAAAAACACCCCCAAAGCATAATGTTTCCACCTCCATGTTTGACGGTGGGGATGGTGTTCTTGGGGTCATAGGCAGCATTCCTCCTCCTCCAAACACAGCGAGTTGAGTTGATGCCAAAGAGCTCCATTTTGGTCTCATCTGACCACAACACTTTCACCCAGTTATCCTCTGAATCATTCAGATGTTCACTGGCAAACTTCAGATGGGCATGTATATGTGCTTTCATGAGCAGGGGGAACTTGCGGGCGCTGCAGGATTTCAGTCCTTCAAGGCGTAGTGTGTTACGAATTGTTTTCTTGGTGACTTTGGTCCCAGCTGCCTTGAGATCATTGACAAGATCCTCCCGTGTAATTCCTCACTGTTCTCATGATCATTGCAGCTCCACGAGGTGAGATCTTGCATGGAGCCCCAGGCCGAGGGAGATTGACAGTTCTTTTGTGTTTCTTCCATTTGCGAATAATCGCACCAACTGTTGTCACCTTCTCACCAAGCTGCTTGGCAATGGTCTTGTAGCCCATTCCAGCCTTTTGTAGGTCTGCAATCTTGTCCCTGACATCCTTGGAGAGCTCTTTTGTCTTGGCCATGGTGGAGAGTTTGGAATCTGATTGATTGCTTCTGTGGACAGGTGTCTTTTATACAGGTAACAAGCTGAGATTAGGAGCACTCCCTTTAAGAGTGTGCTCCTAATGTCAGCTCGTTACCTGTATAAAAGACACTTGGGTGCCAGAAATCTTTCTGATTGAGAGGGGGTCAAATACTTATTTCCCTCATTAAATGCAAATCAATTTATAACATTTCTGACATGCGTTTTTCTGGATTTTGTTATTGTTATTCTGTCTCTCACTGTTCAAATAAACCTACCATTAAAATTATAAACTGATCATTTCTTTGTCAGTGGGCAAACTACAAAATCAGCAGGGGATCAAATACTTTTTTCCCTCACTGTAAAGCGAGGGGATCAGTTCATGTGCAGGTGCTTTCCGTATATTTCATCGCCCAATCGTGAGAAAATGGTGATGATGGCTTTAAGAGGCCTTCATCCGGCAGCAAATGGATGATCGCTGACAAATAACGAATTGATGTGGCAACGATTTCTCATAATCCACACACTTGTGACGGCTGGCATTTGTTGTTGTTGTTGTCGTTTCAGATGTAAACTTCTCGGCAGGATATTTCGCAGCGCAGCACGACTGCAGCCAAGCCGCATTGGGCCCCGGCTACCTCATGGCCGGTGGCCAGAGAGCCCCGGCGGGAGGGAACGGGAGCGGCACTCCGTACCCCTCCCCGTTCAGCTACGACGCCGGCGGCGGCCTCTTCAAGTGCCCCAAAATCCACATCACGCCCGGCGAGCAGGTGGACCAGACGGTCCTGGCCTACGACTCCTCGTTCCTGTCCCACCGGGACTCCCCGCACAGCCTGAGCCCGACGCGCAGCCTCTCCCCGCACAGCTGCCACTCGGACAGCTCCCAGGGGGGCGATCGATACGTCCACGAAGTGGACGACGTCGAGCAGGAGATCGTGCCCAGCACCGAGAGGATCAACCTGCTCCCCTCGCCCTGCGGCAACGAGGGCGGCTGCCAGACGGAGGCGCGGCACACGCGGCCAGGGTCGCCCTGCAAGAGGCGCTACCCGGCGTCGATGGAGCACGACGAACGGGAAGACGGCAACGGCGTCGGTGGCGACTTGGCGATGGCGTTCGCCGTGGATCGCCATCACTACCAGCAGCAGCTGCAGCAGCTGCAGCAGCAGCAGCACCCTCCTCACCACCACCCTCACTACCAGCACCACTACCACCACCAGCAGCAGCAGCAGCAACAGCAGCAGCAGCACCACGCGCGCTCACGATCGCTGTCCCCCAAGCGCACGCAGGGACTGGCCCCGGGCCTCGGTTGCCCCTACAACCTCACGCGCAGCACGGAGCTGCTTCACGTCTCGTCCTACCAGCACGACGGCAGGGGCCACGACTCTCCGAGGGCCAGGAAGGAGGCTCGGCCCTCTGTGGGAGGGCGCCACTACGACTCGTTGCTCTACCAGTACCACGGGCTCGACAATTACCGCCTCGCAGTGCCGCCCGTCGTCAGCATGCAGCCGGCAGATGTGTGCACCCACAGCCCCTTCCTTAGGTACGGACCCTCCCAGCCGGTGACCTCAACGTTTTATCTTCGCGAATGTGTGCACGTAGCTAACCGCGCTCAACGGAGGTACACAGAGAGATCACCTGTCCCAGTAGGAGGGTTGTACGTATGTGTGTGTTGAACTTCTTTCGCACCGTACGTAGCCAACCACGCTAATCGGAGTTGCGGGGGAAGGACAAACAAACGAAAAACAAGCAGTTCGAAAGAAATGTGTTTTAAAATCTAGATAATGGTGAAAGTGAAGCCCTGCTCACACCACTGCTGGCAGAAGGGTCTCCCACTCGAAGGAGCTTTAGAGAGCCCCCTTGTCCACAGGGTATGATATCCGACTATTATACGATATATACTTATTGATGGTGTGTACCTTTTATTTTAAACGATTGGCTGTTTTCTCCCGGGCTTAGCATCTCATTTAAGTATTTGTTTTCCCGCACAATTTTTATTTTTATTTTAGAGTGCTCAACAATTGAGTGAGCCGTTTCAAAAGGTACACAAACTCAAAGCGCATTCACAGCCATGTTAGTGTAGGGTTATTTGTAGTTTGAGCATGGTACACCATAGCACATAATACATAAAGACAAATGTCCATAAAGCCATTTGTTGTTGGTTGTGACATCACCACGGCGCTCGTGCCATGCTAGGTGCACTGAGGCCACGTGATGTGTCGAAGTCCCGCTGGCAGGAGGTCGCCGAACAGACCCGGGTGCCGTGGGTTGACTGAGATACAAAGGCAAAGATCACCCGCATAACCTTAACAGGCTGTTGCGGCAAGTGCTGTGAGCGAACACCTGACTGGCAGATGCACCAGCTGCGCTCCCCACTGTGCCCACACCACGGCACCGGATGATGCAGCGCACACAGCCATGCAGATTGTAAACATTTATTACTCTAGGAACTTAACCTTTCGGAAAACAGTACATTACATAGAGTAGTGTTTTGCTTTTTTTTCCAAAAGACTTGTCTACATGGTACATGTGCATATATTATAATCACAGTATAATTACAGTTCAATCCAGTTATAATAAACTTTAAGAGCAATTCGTTTTTTCAATGAAGCCAATTATGTAAATTATGTATTTTCATTGCATTTAAATTAAGCCATTATGAACACAACATGAATTTCGTTATAACGAGGTCATTTAAATGAGATTCTACCGCTCACATTACAACGCGCAGCTCTTCATCAATCCACTGCTGGATGAGGGCCTTCCCATGCCGTGTGAGCCGTGAGTGTTAATTGACCATACTTCAGCACGCTGGTCAGCGTGTGTCGGTGAAGACAGGGAGCATGGATGTGGCAGCATACAATTACAAAAAAGAAGCAGTTAATATGATGCAACAGCCCTTACCTGGACACAACATCGCCCTGCAGCCCTATAGCAACCTGCTTGTGCGTGGGTGTGCGTGTGGACATCGCTGAAGGAACCTCCCCACCCCCACCTCTGTGCCACTGAATGTGGGACTTTTACAATTCGACTGAAACTACGCCGGAGTGAGTAACCCGCCACCAGCGTTCATCTCGGGAGGCAGTCGTGCACCGCACCGCATTGACATGCTCATGCGTCGGGCCCCCGCTGATGTACACATTATTATTACAATAATAATGTGTACATCACAAATTCCCTCGAGATGAAACGTCTCGCTTGCAAGGGTGTACCGGCTGTCAGCTGACACGTACGTAGCAAACACTTCATGGCATGCATTCAAACATTTTTAATTTCTCCACTTTTATTATTTATGACTACTAAAGGATTGCAATGCATTTATTATTCATTGTGACGTAAATAGACATCTGATGCGTATAAAGATATTGGTGGTACAGCGGTTAACAATGAACTGGGTGACCCTGAGATCTATTCCTGGACACGGCTAACATCGGCGGCGAGTCGCATCTAGGCGAGTCGCATCTAGGCTAGTCTTTAGGCACTAGGGCTGAACGATTTGGGGAAAATATCTAATTGCGATTTTTCTGACAGATATTGCGATTTGATTTGTCAAGCTTAAGTTAAATATTCACTGTGTAATAGATTTAAAACATGTGATGGAGCATTACCACGTGATACCATCACAATATGAACTGCTCTATACATAATCTAATGCAAGGATGAGAACTTAAAAGATATGAATTGCTTCCAACATGTATTTATTAAAATGTTTTCATTGAAATAAAACAATCAAACATAGAACAATTGTTAAGTTAAATGAAGAAAGATATAATAATAAAAAATTAAACAAATCCAATGAGAAAGTACTAGGACTTTACAAGTCGCGAAAAATCGTAGCCTTTGCGATTTGCTAATCGCATTGTTTCAAATTGCGATTTCGATTTGAAATCGATTAATCGTTCAGCCCTATTAGGCACCCCCCTTCACCAACCCGCACTGACCAGCACAGTGAAGTATGGTCAAACCAACCCCAATGACCAACACGGTATGGGGAGGCCTTCATCCAGCAATATATTGACAAAGGGCTGCTTATTTTATTATTTTACTACTGTGCCCTTTGTTTCTGTGAACATTAAAAAAAATTGTGAATCAACCATTAGGATTGAGTGCACATTCCTGCTTAATCTAGTATGAAGTCCCCTTTTGAGCCCTTAATTCCATTTCATGAGCACGTTCATTAATTCAATCCACACATAAATTGGCATTCAAAACCCACACAATTTTCTGGACTGTGATCTTCAGCAAACAATATCCTCGGCTGAATTGTGTACGTACAAAATTGATCATGGGCTGGATACAGTTCCGTTTTTTTCATTCAAATTTAAAGGGAATTGTGCACAAAATCCCCACCAATTACAGACTATGCTGCCAGAATTGAGTGCAGAAATGCTGCAAGGTGGATCGTCAGCACTGAAACCGAGCTGAATGAGCTATATGACAGATAAAGACAGCGTTTAATACAATACATTATAGAATGTGGATATACTTATTTTACATCTACTGATATTCAACTCTATAACTCATTCGGACACAATCATCATCATCTTCCACATGCCTCTATATATTGCAACTTCTACATGTACATCGTGAATATAACGAATCATCATCAGCAGCATCCATCTATTTTCTTCATCATCATCTATTATTATTATCATCACCATCATCCATGAACAAGCGGGTATTGTGTCATCCGCATACAGATATGAAATATAACTTCATCATTATACACCAAATATTATGACCATCATCACCATCATCATGATCAGAGACCCATTTCTCCGAGTCTAAGCAAGCGCCGACACTGTTGCTGCCGCCACCCCTGACAGTACTTGCCCCCTGTGCCCCCGCAGGAGCGACGTGTACCCGCCGCTCGACTGGCCCCTACCGAGCCAGTCGGGCTCCTACGACCTTCGTCTGGAGTCCCAGCCGCGTTCTCACCACAGGGCCCACTACGAGACGGAGGGCAGCCGCGGGGCCGTCAAGGCCCAGGAGGGCAGCCACATCAGGATCAAGGTACGCGCACGGGGAAACTCGCGACTCGCATCCCTGGCAGTGGCGGAGCGAAGGTGGCACGTGCTCTGACCAGGGCTCGGTATGTTGCAGTCTGTTGTCCTGTAACGCGAGTTGGATGTAACGTGACGTATTAGGGAACACATATTTTTTATAACGCGGGTGCGAATTGGATACACCGCGATCGAGCGAACGGAACTACGTTGCGCGAGTAGGAATAAGCGGTTGTAACGGCTGTGTGATGATGCCTTGGCATCATCACACAGGGCGGGATGCTGCTCGATGCCTCTAGATACTACCCACGCGCCTCAGTCTTTGTTCAGCCTGAGTAAGCATCTCACGTGTAATCGTGGACTGTGCTTTACCCCTATATTATACATTATGTGTTCTAAGGCGATTTTTCCATAATGTGGTGTTCTTAAGGAACACAACTACCGCGTTATAAGACAACAGACTGTACTCAATCTTTTTTTATCTGTGTCACTGCTAGGCTAGAGTTGGTGGCAAGTAAAGTGGTGGCCACATCCAGAGTCACGTGGTATACGAGGTGTGGCGCGCCGGGTCGCGTAGATGTTTTTAGAGTCATTGATTTGGACAGACCCGGTTGAATTTAAACCCCAAGATATGCACAGTGCTCATAGCCATAGCAATAACATGTTAGGAAGCCACTGGAGCTATGCACTTTTAAGTCTAAATTCAAAATTCATTTCTTCAGAACTGATTTTTGTGTTTAGCTTATTGTCCTTTCCCCGCACCTCCCATTCACACAATTGGCTAAATACAGTTGTGAAGGAAGTTTAACATACATACGTACACATGTCATTTTCAGTTCAACAACAACAACAACAACGTACCATTGTGGGCATGAGAATTGGTCTAAAGAGTGAAATGGGACCTCCATGTCCAATTTCCCCTTATTTTTTGTAGCCCAGTGCCTGGGCAACCTCTGGTTCTTTCATCGCCTGCGCACTCGGTAGCAACACCACTGAGCCCGAGTATCAGTGCTCAATTTCAGACAACGCTTCCCCACCCGGCAAGACCGCATCCAGTATAACCTTCAACCTCGGTATGCGGCTACCAAGTCACATGCCTACACGCCAGTCTACTGGGGACCTGGGACAATATTCAGTGAAATGAAACGAAGCCCTGCCGAGTGTGGCGCCACAGCAGACCTAATAGCGCGCTATTCGAACGAGCTCGCGACGTGCGATCGTTGCGCGTTTCGTGACGGACTGGACTCGGAAGGTTTGCGCGACACCAAAAGAGAAGAAACACTTTCGGCAGGTGACTTTCACCTGGGTCTAAAGCGACACGGCGGGGGCCTGCGGGTCAGGCACGCAGCGGAAGGACGCGGGCGAACGCACGCCCAGCTTGTCGCGGTTAAGTACCTTTACTTGTATTCTGGAAACTGTGGGTGCATGGGTTAAGAGGAGAAAGATGTTTGAGTGTTTGAAAAGCAACGCGAGGCGCCCGCTGCCTTCCTCTTTTACGAGCAAAAGCAGATGGGGGGTGAGTTTGTGGGGAAACAGCTGGGACACACGTGGAGAACAGAAGAGGTGGAGTACAGAACACACGGGCGGCAGGATGCGACGACCACCCCCCTGCTGTGGCGAAGCCCACAATGGCCGCTGCACGTGTCCTCCTGTGGAGCTGTCGCTTCTAAACGCTGGTCAATAGGCAATAATGAGCGTGATTGTGATGTCGGGGGGTGGGGGGTGGGCGTAAATCTCACGTGGGCAAAACGTTTCCGTGATGCCTCTGGCTAGACGAGCCACTTGGCATTACTCACTTCTTATGGCAGTAATCTATACCATAACCAGCACTACATGATCATACATTACTCTGTTGATATATCGCAACGTTTACTGAGCAGTAAGGTACAGACTTACTTCTTGCTGTAGGACTGTAGCTGTGTGGTTTGTTCACAATTAAGTTTCTCCAAAGTTCACGACAGCCCTGTGAGAGCGGGTGTAGCGGAGGCGTGAAGTTGTGCGCGTGGTGCAATGAAGCCGGCGACCTTAGTTTCATTCCCGGCTGTGGCTAACATCAGCGGCAGGCGATGTCCGAACTCTTGCCCGGGGCCACCAAATGGCACTGATCGGTGCGGTGGAGTGCCATCAAACGATCCCCGTGATTGACACGGCATGGGGGAAGCCTTTGTTCGGCAGCCGATGGACAAGAGGAGCGTGAATAATAATTATTATTACTATTACGATCAATACTCTGTCGGGAACAAAAGTGTTTGGGAAGGTTTCGAGGTAGATGTGGGTCAAAGTAAACACGAAGCTGTGAAATTTTTATTGCAACAAATACAAATTGCTGCAACATATGAAATGGTAAAGGTCCTGACGGCCAAAAGGTTTGTTGGTAAAAAATGGAAATGAGGAGTTAAGCATCACAAGAGCAAACGGGTTTCAAGAGTCCAACAGATTAAAATGTAGAATGAAATATGAAACCAAACAAGTTTATATTAACACAAACATTACATATTGACACAAAGGGGATACGGATATTTAAGAATTCACAATTACGTACATGATATATATATACAAGAATGTATTTGTATACCGATACATATACTTATCCGATAGCCTTGATAAAATGAATGTGCCAACATGATGATCTTGTACATTCGTTGAGCACAAGGTCATTCGGCTATGGGCTAAGAGCTCATGAATAAACTACTGGGGCGTTTCTATGGCAGTCATTACTGGTATTTCTCCAAACTTGGCCATGGACGCAGCTCACAGTCCGAACAATTCGGTGGGAATTTCTGTCTTTCGCCACTAATTATCACGCAGCACACTCGCGTGATCATTCCCCCCCGCGACACATTATCGTAAGGGGGGGGGGGGGTCTGGGGTTGGGACTTCGTGTACCCCGAACATTAGAGGCGGGCACGCAGACCACGAGGCCAACCCCGGCCTTTTCCTAATGCGCAGGAGACAAACAGCATCGCGGTAACGGTGATGACGCATCGGTCGGATAAAGCGACCGAATTGCACGTTGGGAATGGAGCGTGGCACTAGGGTGTTGTGCACAGAAGGTGGGCCGCAACGTCCAATTCGAATGTACGTACGGATGTTGAACCTCTTTCGCACCGTACTTAGTCAACCGTGCTAATCGGGGAAAGCCGACAAACTGAACACAAAAAGCAATTCTAAAGAAATGAGTTCGTCAATCTAGATTATTTCAAAGTGCGTAGCTGCAGTGGCTTCCTAATATTGGCAGGGAGAGCTTTCCAGACGGCCGCATAAGCGCGTCTGAAAGCACGCGATGCGGTGACCGTCTTTGTTCGATGGCTGAGCTAAAAGCTGCTGATGCGAGGATGACCGGAGTTTACTTTAAGGTTTTTGCTCCTTGACGAGATCAGCAAGGTATGGTGGTGGCAAGCACTTTGTGTGCGATGAGTGCAACCTTATAATGTATTTGTTCGGCAATCGGAAGCCAATGCAGCTCGGCGAGCACTGGACGGACACTGTCATTGAAATATGTCCATCAAATCAATCGATCAATTGACTTATCGCCCTTATTCTATCTGCTGGATGAATGCCTCCTCACGCCATGTTGATCATGGGAGTTTGTTTGACCATACTTCACCAGGACGGCGATTGTGGGTTGGTGAAGAAGGGAGGGCAAGAACGGTTCTGATATCACTCTCATGTTAAGCCGCGGCCGAATATCAAACTCGGGTCACCCAGCGGATGAATCGCGGCAAGCGCTATCCACTGCACCGCTGCTCCCCTAGGTGCATGTGTGTTCCATGACATTATCTGTAACGAACAATGAACAGACGTAGGTAAACTTTGAATTAACTGTAGGCATCCGGTCCTCGGTCCACTAACAATGTTACTTGAATTTCCACCTATACGATCAGCAAAAGCTGCTTATTAGCTCAATTTTCGGATCAGATGTGGGATCAAGGAGAGTTCCAGCCGGTGTCGACTCACGCCATTATGACCACCATGGTCACCACGGATGAGTGTCAACTGTTGAGCATCGTTTGGTGGCCAGTTACAGAGGGGGTGACAGCTGAACAGACGGACCCTTGCAACTGTGATCCAGTGGCACGTAGATTTCAAAAGCATAGCAAAGCTGAGCACTTGGATGGGTGACCAGCGTACGTGAAACAGGGGTTATAGGCTCCTGCAGGGCTACGGTGTCAGCAAGGGAGGGCAATAGAGTATAGCAACATCCATTGTATTGCACTGTCCAATGACCATGTTCCGGCCCTTTACCAACCCGCACTGACCAGCGTGGTGAAGTATGCTCAAAACCTACCCCCGTCCCCGACGAGACCAACACAGAGCGCGGGGAGGCCTCCACTCGGGGAAGCTTGAGAACGCCCCTCTAAAGGCTACTTTGGTCGACTTTTCCACACTTGTCAGACATCTCGGAAGAGCTGGGAGTACCCCCGCACTTTAAACCCACACCGCATGCGACCTGACGATCGACGATCCGTGGCGTTGAACCTCTTTATACTGCTGGGTCGACAGAGGCTGGCTAGGGGGGGGGGGGGGGGGGAAGGATTTATAAAACTCGCAGCCGGGAGATCGATTCGAGCCTGCGACCTCTCTGGATTGCAACTCTAAGCGCCGCCGGCGAGCACGCGACGATATTGATCCCCGACTGAAACCGCGAGACGCGATCGCCGTGACCGCCGCTGTCGTCCACGCTCCGTGCCGCACGCAGCTCTACGGCTACAGCAAGACGCCGCTCATGCTGCAGCTCTTCATCGGCACGGCGGACGAGCGTCCCGTGCGGCCGCACCCCTTCTACCAGGTGCACCGCGTCACCGGCAAGACGGTGCTGACGCCGAGCCGCGAGCTGGTGCTGGGCGACACCAAGGTCCTGGACATCCCCATGCTGCCCGAGAACGGCATGCTGGCCACGTACGTTCCCCCGCCACCCGTCGCACGCACGCACACACACACAAAGACAAAGATCAACCCCCCCCCCGTATGGCCTTACAAGACTGTCGGGGCTCAGTTGAACAAGTAGGCTTTCGCGACCAATATTATTCATAAGAAAGGCTTGTTGGGTTAGGTCGCGAAAGTATAAATGTTGTGTCGTAACCCTCCACCACCCGGGACAGCCAATTACTGAGGGATTTGTCACGTAAACAAAACGCCAATTTGTTACTACTTCAGCCCACGGAGTGTTGGAGAGTAAATCCACAAAATTTAATTGAGTAAATGTGAATTAGTATATCCCTTACTAATTGGCTGTCGGGTGGTGGAGGGTTACGACACTTATACTTGCGCCATCTATCCCAAAAACCTTTGTTAAGTGGCGTAGCGAGCACCAATGAAGGCCGGAACGGCACACGAGGGGGTGGGTGGCCATCGCCACGCCCGGCCACCTTTGTCTCCCCAGTGGCGATGTTTACACACCGCACCGGGTACTCATTTGAGGCCGAGTCGACTTTGGGGGAGTCCCGGGACCAGTTTGGATTATCGTGGCTGGTGTTGGCAGTGGGCGGGAAGAGAAACGCAGCGTAGCGCTAACCGCTACGCCACAAAGGCACAGGCAGGCACCCTTCTCGGTTTTGCAGGCTGCCAATTGACTATAAACGATTTTTATTTTACCAAGGCCCACTGAGCTATGCAGCGCTTATTCAGTAGCGACCTGGCCACACATGATAGCTCAACGAAGTGGCTTATCATCACGTGGACATTTATAGCAGCCGAAACCTCTAAACGCGTGACGTTGATTCTAAATGTGGAGTGAAGAACCGGAGGACCCCCAGAGAAAAATCCACACGACTAACCATCGTATACTCGCTTATACTGTGCTACAATTTTTTTGCGGTATCAAAATAATGAGAAGAGAATAGGCTTCAACCTTACATTATTATCAAAGCACTTTGTTTGCATGTTTTACCACAAGCATGTGTGCTTAATGCAGACTTGATGCCTTGCAATGGGTGTCTATAATTAGGTGTTTGAACATCTTAACACTTACTGTATCATTGCCTGGAAAGGGTGAAGGCTATTATTATTTCTTTTTTTGTAAACCAATTTATACTGTTGGGTGAACACAGGCAGTGGCGTGGGATTTAAAACTTTCCCCATCGTTGCAATCGATGCGCCGGGAGATCGAACCGGTGGGGATCGTGATGCAGCGTGAGAACCGTCCCGGCACGCCAGCATCCTTGAGCTTACGCCGATGCATTATGCATTGCTGCTAAGCAGGGCAGGGAATTATGCACAGTGAGGGAACAAAAGTATTTGATCCCCTGCTGATTTTGTAGGTTTGCCCACTGACAAAGAAATGATCAGTCTATAATTTTAATGGTAGGTTTATTTGAACAGTGAGAGACAGAATAACAACAAAAAAATCCAGAAAAACGCCTGTCAAAAATGTTATAAATTGATTTGCATTTTAATGAGGGAAATAAGCATTTGACCCCTCTGCAAAACATGACTTAGTACTTGGTGGCAAAACCCTTGTTGGCAATCACAGAGGTCAGACGTTTCTTGTAGTTGGCCACCAGGTTTGCACACATCTCAGGAGGGATTTTGTCCCACTCCTCTTTGCAGATCTTCTCCAAGTCATTAAGGTTTCGAGGCTGACGTTTGGCAACTCGAACCTTCAGCTCCCTCCACAGATTTTCCTATGGAATTAGGGTCTGGAGACTGGCTAGGCCACTCCAGGACCTTAATGTGCTTCTTCTTGAGCCACTCCTTTGTTGCCTTGGCCGTGTGTTTTTGGTTATTGTCATGCTGGAATACCCATCCACGACCCATTTTCAATGCCCTGGCTGAGGGAAGGAGGTTCTCACCCAAGATTTGACGGTACATGGCCCCGTCCATCGTCCCTTTGATGCGGTGAAGTTGTCCTGTCCCCTTAGCAGAAAACACCCCCAAAGCATAATGTTTCCACCTCCATGTTTGACGGTGGGGATGGTGTTCTTGGGGTCATAGGCAGCATTCCTCCTCCTCCAAACACGGCGAGTTGAGTTGATGCCAAAGAGCTCCATTTTGGTCTCATCTGACCACAACACTTTCACCCAGTTATCCTCTGAATCATTCAGATGTTCAATGGCAAACTTCAGACGGGCATATATATATGTGCTTTCTTGAGCAGGGGGACCTTGCAGGTGCTGCAGGATTTCAGTCCTTCACGGCATAGTGTGTTACCAATTGTTTTCTTGGTGACTATGGTCCCAGCTGCCTTGAGATCATTGACAAGATCCTCTGGGCTGATTCCTCACCATTCTCATGATCATTGCAACTCCACGAGGTGAGATCTTGCATGGCGCCCCAGCCCGATGAGATTGACAGATCTTTTGTGTTTCTTCCATTTGCGAATAATCGCACCAACTGTTGTCACCTTCTCACCAAGCTGCTTGGCAATGGTCTTGTAGCCCATTCCAGCCTTGTGTAGGTCTACAATCTTGCCCCTGACATCCTTGGAGAGCTCTTTGGTCTTGGCCATGGTGGAGAGTTTGGAATCTGATTGATTGAATGCTTCTGTGGACAGGTGTCTTTTATACAGGTAACACGCTGAGATTAGGAGCACTCCCTTTAAGAGTGTGCTTATAGACTGATAATTTCTTTGTCAGTGGGCAAACGTACAAAATCAGCAGGGGATCAAATACTTTTTCCCCTCACTGTAGGGTGTTCGTCGTTACGCTCAACATGCACATTTACAGCCCTATTTGACAATACCCCAGTCGAAGAAGATCTTTCCACATCTGTGCGGGTTTTCTATGTAATTATATATATTAATCATACTTCGCCATGCTGGTCAGTGCGGGTAGAAGGCGGCGGGAGCAGACACGGAACCATGGAAATACGCAAAACAACGGACTTTGTGATTATCGCCGTCCACCGCCCGTCATGCGGCAGCCCAGAGCGGCCTCTCCTGCGCGTGGCGGGTCTCCCGTCCAAGCACCGCCAGCGCTCTGCTGGTGCTTAGCCACCAATGGGATCGGGCGCATCCAGGCTCATTTGATGACATGCAAGAGCCTTGCATACAATGCATAATTGATGGGAAATATTTGCCATTTGGTTGGTTGGGCGTCCGCCCAGCTTGTTACGACTTTGGGCTTCTTCGGTCAACCCGTGGGGCTGGGATTTAGTACCGGCGAGGTTATTCCTTGCAGACGAGCCCGCCATCGCGGCCCTTAACATTAAACACTTTGTTCCACACACACACATATTGTAATTTTCCATATTATTCTCCCTCCCGTTTGTTTGAATAAAATGTCAGCAAGGCCAACACCGCCTTTGCAGAGAGAGGGGCTATTACGCCCGTGTATGCAGGTCATGGGTGTCCGCGGTTGTTCGCGGGGCCCAGCGACAAAGCTACAAACTTCCCCCCCCCTACCTCTCCTTTGGGTGTTAGACAAAATGTCAAACATTACGACATAGGGGCACACCTCACTTCCAATATGTGTGTTCCCCCCCGGGAGAACGTTGATTTACATTGCCGACCTCCAGGACCGGCTGGGCGGCCTGTATTGAGTGTTGTCGCAGCAGCAGGATGGGGGAACGTGATGGCATGGTGGGGCGGGGGGTGTTCCATGCGGCGTGGGGTTTGTGTTGAGAAATATAAAGCGGGTGGCCAGAGTGCAAATGGGAGTTGTGTACACGCACAGCTCCCCCCCCCCCTCTCGTGTTAATCTACTGCTGGATGAGTTTCGCCCAAAGTCACGCATATCGTGAGGGTTATTTGAGCATAGTTCACCACGGTGGTCAGTCGGGGGCGGTGGGGGGGTGGAATGTACGAATAGCATAGACGACGTGGGAGCATAGAAGTGCAGTACCATAGATTTTGTTTACATTGCCCTCGGCTGCCCGTCACATAGCGCCGGTCTCGCAGCTGCCGTGGACAATGAACAGTGGTCATCCATCCAAGTACTATCCAGGCTCGAGGCCGCGAAGCTTCGGAGATCTGATGAGAATGAAACCCATTCCGGCTGGTCTGTTCAATGGCATTGGGTGTTTGCATACATTTGTTCGGAAGTTTGCGGTTGCTTTTCATGCTCTCACGTGCCGCCCAAATGAGCCCTCCTGGGTTCTGTTGGTCAGGCCTGTAATTCACCAACACGTGCGCGTGTGTGTGTGTCACCCACCCCTCGTGTGCCGTGCCGGCCTTCAAAAGTGCTCGCTAACAGCACTTGCCCCAACAGTCTGTTTAAGGCTGTACGGGTGATATGTCTTTGTTTTTTGTTTATGTCAGTGTGTGTGTTTGTGTCAGTGTGTTTGTCAGTGTGTGTGTCAGTGTACGTGTGTTAGTGCCAGATGTATGTGTCTGTTTCAGCGTGTGTGTGTTTGTGTCAATGTGTGTGTCCTAGTTTTGAAATGCCCCAGACCCTTTTGCGCGTGAGGCTTTTTTTGTTGCATAAAGCGAAAATATACCACGTTTATCTCAAATGCACATGCTTTTGAAAAGAAAACCCAGTGAATATCTTATCATGATTGGGCGCCGCAACATCAGAGATTTGTGTTTTCAAATTGGAACCTCAAGTCAACAGCACAATAGCACTTGAATTGCAATGCTACATACGCCAGTGAAAACAATAAAAGTAGCAAACTACCCTCCGCCTTGAGCTAAGACTCTCTCTTTTTGGTCGTGTTTATTAATCATAATGAATATGCTCTTCAGTAATCAGAACATTAATGACTTAGCCATATAATGGATTAATATGTTGTGAACAATTTGAAGATGCTTATTTATTCCATTACATCTTCAAAACATCGATTCATCAGGGCCGATTATTTATTTCCTTCCTCCATGCAACAAATTGTAGGAAAAATCGCGGTCGCAATCTTTCACCCGTTTAATTCTGGTGTCCTTTGACATTTTTTGTTCACCGTGCTCTCTCATTTGCAGGCTCTCGTTAGATTCTCCGCAAGACGCGACTCGTTTATAACGCGACTAATAATCTCGAATTCATGACGCCCGGCGGCAGTCACCGTTGCTCTCTAATGACGAACAAACAACAACAACAACAACAAGTAACGACGACTCGCTCGCAACTTCCCTCGCCAAAAAAAACCCCCGATGAATCTCTACGGCCCTCCACCTGGTTAAATAAAAGAACAGTGATGGAGTGCCGGCTCCCCCACTTTATTAATAACGCGCGGGGAGCAAAGAGTGTAACGGGCTTCCGAGACAGTGGCAGCAGCAGCAGCAGCGTCCCCCCCCCCCCCGCTGCGCTTAACGAGCACGGTTCGCTCCGCGGGTTCCACTGCCGCCGCAGGATCGATTGCGCGGGCATCCTGAAGTTGCGCAACGCCGACATCGAGCTGCGCTCGGGCGAAACCGACGTGGGCCGCAAGAACACGCGCGTGCGCCTCGTGTTCCGCACGCACGTCCCCCAGGCCGGAGGAGCGGAGCCCGTGTCGCTGCAGGTCGCCTCCATCCCCATCGAGTGCTGTACGTGGTTGACGCACGCACGCGCACGCACGCACGCACACGCGCGCGAGCGAGCGAGAGAGAGAGAGCCGACACGATCGCGATGACACTCGCACGCAACGCCCCGGGGGATTTAATTTCACGCTGAATATCGTCCAAAATAATTGTGGTGGTGGTGGTGGTGGGTGGTGGTGGGTGGTGACGCTGCGTTCGTTGGCGGCAGTGCACAAGAAAAGTAGGAAAAGACCAACACGTTTGTCGATAACGTTGTCCTGACGAGGAAGACATGTATATTGGGTCACATTTTTGGCGATCTTCATAGCAAAGAAATGTATCTTTAGGGCAGTGTTCTTCATTAATGTTTTATTTGTTTTATACTTTGTCACCTGTCCTGGTTTTACCGTGATCGTCTCATTTTTGAGGCGTCCATCCTGGGTCACCTGTAACTATTCCAGCGACTTCAAAAGTCCCAGACTACTCATAATAACACATCCCTGTTTTATGTACAGGTACCTCGGAGATGGCAACCCTAATATTGGATGTGGTGTTTTCTGAGACGTAAATATGTTTTAATTTTACCAGGTAAGACCCACTGAGCTATGAAGCTCTTTTTCAGAAGCGACCTGGCCACAAATGATAGCTCAATTTAGTGGATTATCACGTGGAAATGTATAGGAGCCCAATATACTCTAAAGGCGTGTTCTTAAATGTGGAGGGAAAAACTGGAGGACCCAGAGAAAAATCCACGCGACCATAGTGAGAACATGCACACTCCAAATATTTAGGCGTCAAGGTCGGGATCGAACCCGCAACCTCCTCCATATCAGACCCGGACAGACAAAGCTGAATTTTAGCCCCCCCCAACATCCCCCTGCCCCCATTTGCCACAGCACGCAGCTCCTCAACTTTGGTCAAAACGACCTATAAACTTAATGACCATTGAGCTGTTTCATTTTTTACAAACGTGGGATTTAGTTTTGTTTCTTTGCAATGGAACACCCTGACATATGCAAGTATGGGGACTGATGTTTGCATTTTTTATCGCCGTACACATGTAAACAGTAGATGTTTTTTAATGACAAAGGGCTCTAAATTATTTGTATTGTTTTAAAACACGGACATAGGATGGCGGTTCAAAGTTTCAAATTATCAGCAGGCCTATGCCGAGTAAAACCTAAATATTACTCATTCATGTCTAAAAAAAGGTTAAATATTAGAAAGTGTAATTAAATTAATTCCAAACTATAAAAAACTATTTTTAAAATCCCATTATTTTGACATGAAATATTAACCGAGCCCCATGACTCAACACAAACCTAGAACTTATGTAAATATCCTTACCCAGTCGTGCTGCCAGTTAGCCACCACTGTACTGGAAGTGATGTGGGTATTTCATCTGTTCAATGTTGAGCATATAACCGCAGTTCATGAATTACGTTTTTTAACAATATATACATAGCCTTACACACTGTGAAAGCAAGTGCTGTTAGCCAGGACCTATTACATAGCCGTACACACTGTGAAAGCACGTGCTGTTAGCTAGTACCTATTACATAGCCTTACACACTGTTAAAGCACGTGCTGTTAGCTAGCACCTATTAAATAGACTTACATACTGTTGAAGTAAGTGCTGTTAGCCAGGAACTATTACTTAGCCTTACACACTATTAAAGCAAGTGCTGTTAGCCAGCACTTATTACATAGCCTTACACGCTGTTAAAGCAAGTGCTTTAACAGCGTGTAAGGCTAACAGCACCTATGAAGGCCGGAACGGCGCACGAGAGGTGGTGTGACCACGACCACGCCGATCCATCTTTGTAACCCCCAGTGATGATGCTTACATCCTGTAACAGGTACTCAATTAAGGCTGAGTGCATCTAGGGGAAGTCCAAAACTGGTGCATGTATCACTCACCACTCACGTTAGCCATGGCTGGGAATCGAGTGAAGATTGCCAGGTGCAGCGCGCTAACCACAACACCATCACTTCCCACAAATACAAAGATCTCCCGTATAGCCTTAATAGACTGTTGGGGCAAGTGCTGTTAGCCAGCACCAATGAAGGCCGGAACTGTGGCACACAAGGGGGTGGGCGGCCAGCACCATGGCTGGCCGCCTTTGTCTCCGCCAGCGGCGATGTTTACACGCCACACAAGGTGCTCATTTTAGGCCGAGTCGATCTAGGGGAGGCCCAGGACCGGTTCAGGTAATCGTCACTGGTGGTGGCAGTGAGCGGGAATCCAACACGGGTCGCCGGGTTGGGAACGTAGCGTAGCGCTAACCGCTACACCACCGCTCCCCGCAATATGCTTCCCACACAACACGCGCACACCCACTCATATAATGTCCCCGGCTGTGCTTGTGTATTCCAAGCGTAGCGCCTCGCCGCATCTGCTAAAATCCAACCAGCAATGCATTACCCATCCATGCGCCAGTTTGCTGTAGGTCAGGTTGTGCCTCTCAGTCCCTCCAGCTGCCTTTCATACATTTCCCGGAACAGTTTGCACCTGCGGCGACCTTCTGCTGCCTGCTCTGCTCTGCCACTCCCCGTATCCCCCCCCCCCCATCTCTCTCTCTCCGCGTGCTTCCAAAAGGCACGGAGAGACCAAGAAGGAAGGAGTGCCTCGCGACTGCACTCGTGGTTCCCGTCGTGAAACTACAGTTGCGCACGCCTGTTTTCTCGGAGTCAGAATAGCACGGTTTACGGGCGAGATGTTAAAGACCTCGCCTGGTATACAGGAGGTCGTGACTTGGATCCCGACGCCTGCATATGTGGAATTTGCAAGTCTCTCTCCGCCGTGGTCGCGTGGATTTTTTCACCGGGTCCTCTGTTTTTTTCCCCCCCTCCACATTTAGGAACACGCGTTCAGAGTATGTGGCTGCTATAGATTTCCACATGCATTAAGCACACATGCTTGTGGTAAAACACGCAAAGTGCTTTGATAATTACGTGTGTAAGGTTAAAGCCTATTCTCCTTTCATCAATTTGATACCGCAAAACAAAATTGTACCACAGTATAAGTGGGTACGCGGCGGTTAGTCGCGAAAAATTTTCTCCGGGTCCTCTGGTTTTTCACTCCACATGTAGAATCAATGTGCTTTTAGAGCTTTTGGCTGCTATAAATGTCCACGTGACGATAGGCCACTTTATATTCATATTCTTAGCTCTTTCGGTAAAGTCACGTTGAAGGGAAACAATAAAATAATAAAATATATATAAAACAATACAAATTCTCACGACGTTTCGACCATAACACAAACGGTCGTCATCAGGTGTGTCGGTTTGCATTCATTTATTTATTTTTAAACGCTTTTGAAAAAGAGCCATATAGCAGCTCAGTGGGCCTTACCTGGTAAGATAAAATCTTTGTTTTGGCTTATAAAATCTTTATTTATATAATCTTTATTTATCCTGGAGGAATCCGAAGAGCCGCGAAGCTCTTTTTCAAAGATGTCTAGTCGGGGCGGGTCTGCAAGTTACAACAACTGTCTCCGGGGGGGGGGACATTTGGAGGGGTCCAAATGTCCGTCAGACAATGAGGGCTTAATCATCTACCGGCTCTGTCGGGATTGGTGAACCGGCAAGTGATTATTTACTGGACACACCACGACAACCAGTACACACACCACGTGGCCCTCTCTCGCCGTTGCTGTGGCTACTAATCCCGTGCCACCTCTATGTCTCGCAGCGGCTATACTGTTGGCATGGTGCAATCACCTTTTTCTCCAGGTTCTCCGTTTTTTCCCCCCTCCACATTTAGACTCAATATCGCACGTTTAGAGTCTCTGGCTGCTCTAAATTTCCACGTGACGATGGGCCACTTCGTTGAGCTATCATTTGTGGCTGCCAGGTCGCTTCTGAAAAAGAGCCATATAGCAGCTCAGTGGACCTTACCTGGTAAAAATACAAATAAAAAAACACCTGCCTGGGTGACGAGTGACGCGCTCTCCTTCGGCACTGTTCACCTGCCTGGTTGACGAATGACGCGCTCTCCTTCGGCACTGTTCACCTGCCTGGTTGACGAGTGACGCGCTCTCCTTCGGCACTGTTCACCTGCCTGGTTGACGAGTGACGCGCTCTCCTTCGGCACTGTTCACCTGCCTTGTTGACGAGTGACGCGCTCTCCTTCGGCACTGTTCACTTTTCAGCACACGGTCCGGCCGACTTGACGGTTGCACGCAGTGGCAAGGGCTTTTGGTCACAGGGATGACCGCAGAACAAAGGTTCCTTCGCAATGCATACTGGGCATGAGTTACAATTACATTCGGTGGGCACTATGAGCCGGGCGACCCGAGTTCGATTCAGTGGCGATATCTGAACCAGTTCGGGACAGCTTCACAAATCCGCATTGACCAGCGAGGGGAAGTAAGTCAAATAACCCCGACGATTGTTCACGCAGCAGTAGATTGACAAAGAGGGTGCAATATGAATCAGGCATGTCGCTGAACAACATCAATATTTATAATTGGGCATGTGACGATGCATAGTAGCACATTATTGTGCCTATGAGAATAGCACGTTATTGTGCCTATGATAATGTATTGTTAACAATATATACAAATTGCTGTATTTGAAAATGATATGTGTATGGCACATCTGGGCTAATGTAACGGACGAAACTATACAAACGAGAAATAATTGGCGGATGAAATCGCTAGGCCAAATTGTGGCAATTGGTCGAATCATTGAAGTGGAATGATTGTGGAGGATCGAAGTGGAGCAATTAATTGTGACTATTTACGACATACTGCAGGTACACAAAATACAAATATTCACGATCTATTCACTGCTGGGTGAAGGCCTCCCCCAAGCCATCACCATTCCTCACACATGCGAATGCAACAATCCATCCGGCTCCTGTCTCACCGCTTCCATCTCCATGGGGTGAACAGCCCCTCAGGCACATTCGCTCCTTTGGCTGCCTCTCCGACTTTCGTCTCGACCATCGGCGAGGATCCCTTCGAGGGGTGTGGCCCCGACCCCTCACTTACCCGGCCGCGGGGGAGCGGTAGTGTAGTTGTTAGCGCGCTGCACTACGAACACGGTGACCCGAGTTCTATTCCCGTCGACGGCCAACGCCAGTGACCAATATTTGAACCGGTCTTGGGCCTCCCCTAGGTCGACTCAGCCTCAAATGAGTACCTGGTGGAGATGTACAAAACCGGGGAAACAAAGGCGCTTGAGCATGGTGCTGGCCACCTACAACCCCCTTTGTGTACCGTTCCGGCCTTCATAGGTGCTCGCTAACAGCACTTTCCCCAACAGTCTGTTCAGGCAATACGGGGGATCTTTGTCTTTTTACTTACCCTACTAAAGCCCACAGTCGCGTGAACATAGTAAGCTATAAAATAAATAATTACAAATGTGGTTGCAGGGGGGGGGGGGAGCTGTTAATGGTTCTCACTGGGGTTCCTACAACCTTAGCGCCGCGTCTGAACGGGACTTCTTCTCGCTGTAAAGGGTGTTACAGCGCAGCCCCTCATCAGCGCCGAGGGCTGGATGCACGCTATTCACCAATTTGTGTCGGCGTCAGCTATTCCACACGTCGCTTCTGCAAATCGCACGCAAACAAATGTTAGCGGGGAGCAAATGAACAAGTGTGGCGTTGCGATTCCGTGTGGCCGCAGGCGCAGCAGCAACGGGGGCGGGGCTCTGGAGGGTCACTTGTTCGACCCCCTCGCAATAATGAGGCTGCGGAGAAAATTTCAATATCACGCGGAACCATCCTGACAATGTGGACCTGTGATTTGAAGTGCAGAGGCTTCAATGAAAATGGGATTTTAACATCCTGATGAATCCCACATTGTTGCTGAACAATGCGTGTTAATATTCTTGGTTCTTTCGGTAAAGTCGCGTAGAAGGGAAACAATAACATAATAAAAATATCAAACAATAAAATTCTCACGACGTTTCGGCCACAACGCAAGCAGCCGTCCTCAGGTGAAGAAACAGAGCTGTCGGAAAGACAGCGCTCCAATGAACACTGCTAAGCTTGGCAGCGTATTTTAAGCTGGGTGGGAGGAGCAGAGCGCCTTGACAAAGGGGTTTACATATCAACAGAATAATTTAGCATTGAAGTAGCTATGTTAATGTGAGAGATTAGCAGGATGTTGAAGTCAAAAATTGGCATGTAACTGGGAGATTAGCATGATGTTAATGTGAGGAATTGGCATGTAACTGGTCACGGAAGTAGCTACGTTAAAGTCAGAGTTTACATATCAACAGAGGCATTTAGTATATTGACGCTAAAGAACTGCAACTACCCAACTATCATACAGTAAACCGATGTGAAAGAACTAAATATAAACTTCATGAATATAATCAATGTACTCAATATATTCCCTTCTACGTGACTTTATCGAAAGAACCAAGAATATGAATCCCTGCAGTCACGAAAGCTTTAAATCACAATGCGGGTTAATTCAAGTGAGCCCACTTCTGAGATTTCTAGAACCGGGGGTGATGTTAATTTTTGTTTGTAAAAAAAAACCCACAATCAAACGGCCACAAAAAGCGATATCCTTGATTCATGGCGACGGTTACGATGACCGTGATGAATTATGAATGATGACACTTATTACGATGATGATATTGACATTGGTAATCATTGGTCATGGAAAGCAATGGCACTTTTATGAAAACAACAATGATGGTAATACTAATTATAATGATGATGTCCGTTCCAGCTCAGAGATCTGCACAGAAGCACCCTCTGATTGAGCGGTTGAGCATCAACAGCTGCTCGGTGATGGGTGGGGACGAGATGGTCATCACTGGAAGCAATTTTCTTCCAGAGTCGAAGGTCATCTTCACACAGAAGGGAGAAGGTGAGCGGTTACACCGCCAGGGCTTTGATCTCGTTATCGCTTTGTCTGCGTTCTTTCCTTGCTAAGCGGCAGCCAGACGTTTTAATATTCCTGCGGACATATATTTTATGAGGTGTACACTGTTTACAGAGCTTCATTAAGTTGTGACCTTACCTTTTTGTTGTTGTTGTTAAGTTAGGGGTTTTGGTTGATATTGTAAAAAAAAAAAAGTGTGTAAATAAATGTACTTTTTTTTTTTAAACATCCATATTGAAACATTAACAATTAAACGTGCACGTGGGGTTATAACATTTCACTTTGGAAACGAATTCGCATCGCTGTAATTGCATCCCAGTCGCGTTGCCTGCCGCTGAAAAATTGTGCTAAGACGACCCATGGGGGGGGGGGTGGGGGGGGGGTATGTCATTTGGCAGCTGTAATGCACATGGTGAATTATCACCTCAGCTGTACAAATTCTCACTCCGAACCCGGCTGTGGGAACAAACGGGGAAGGGCAAAAGTGTCACCACCACTCGTTGCTTTCAGCCCTGTAGAGTTTCACGTGGGGCCAATTAAAAGTTCCGCTGAGAAGGAAAACACAAAGAAGTAAAAACGGAGGCTGGGTGAGACAACCCTCGTGTTAGTTCCCGTACAGCGCGGTAACAAAAGGTGCGAGACGCTTGGGAGGATGTATATTTATGATTTAAAGCTTTCGTGACTGCAGTAATTCATAATCTTAGTTCTTTCGGTAGTCACGTTGAAGGGAAACATCACCTGATGACGACCGTTTGTGTTATGGTCGAAACGTCGTGAGAATTTTTATTGTTTTTTATATATATTTTATTATTTCATTGTTTCCCTTCAACGTGACTCTACCGAAAGAGCTAAGAATAGGATGTATATTTATGAAGCGATGCGGACTCAAAACGCAAACGGGAACATGAGAAACGCAACTGAAAAATGCGTACGCTCGGAATGTCAGCTATGGTGGAAAATGTATCGCAAGGAAATAACAACATTGTATACGTATAAATGAAACGTTCGGCAGAAGAGTGAGAATCTGGTACGCGTATTATTAACATTTTCTGACTGCTGAGATACAAGGCTTGGTTTTTTTTTAATGCTCAACCGAATGACAAAATACCTGCACGATATTTAATTTTAAAAAAATGTTCATAACCCGCCGTTGCCTTTTGGCACATCGCCTTGAAAGTCATAACGTATATGAATATTTACTCTCAAAGATGGGCGGACTGTGTGGGAGAAAGAGGTCGACCTTACGATGGAGAACTTCCAGTCGGTGAGTAGATAAAGCCGTTTCAACAGAACCTCAATTGCTGTGAAGGTGAAAGCTGTATTTGCACTCGAAACACTGCAGACTGCAGAGACGGAACGAGATTGCATTGTGCTGTTTGATCGCTTGGAAACAGGGGGAATTAAGTCTGGCAAATTCCTGGGAGGCTCAACTGAGACACACGCGTTGAGCTGGCAGCCCATCCCCCTCGGTCAACCACACCCACTTTGATATAGCCACGCCCACTCAACCACTAGCCCCCATCCAGTGGGTGGCTTTCCTCGTTCAAACCTCGCCCCCACCTTCTCTAGCGCTGTGCCAACCCCACTCCCGCTTCTCAGATCGTCCTTCCCTTGCTCTTTCACACAAGGAAGGTTCGAAAATACTGAACGTTATCCACACTATGGGTGTAAATACATTGCCATTAGCATCTTTACGCTTTGTGAATATAGCAACAACAAAAAAATACACATAAGCCGAATCACGTATCATGAGTCAAGCAAGAGCCCAGAACTTTTTCTCGTGGTTTTTAAACTGGAACAAAAATCGGAAAAGCTTCGGCGACATTGAGGACGACGACGCTTCTAAAGCGACGACGTTTCAGTCGCCTCGCGGGGAACATGGGCCCGGCCACCTTGACGCTCGCTGACAGCGGAGGTCAGTGCCTTGCTCGCACGGCGAGACGCGTCGCGTCTTTGCAGAGCGTGGGGCTCGCCCAAGAGGCCTGTGGCTAACCGCCTGGTGTTTGCTACGGATGGGAGCGTTGTCACTACGTACTAGCCTACTGTTCTGGTAGACCCACGCGACTCCGCACAAGCAGATGCGGAAAGGCCACAAGAGGGGGCCCCCCCGATGTTCGTACAAAAATAACTAAGTAGCAATGTATAGTCCATGTTAAATATCAATAAAATTCAAATGCATGGGTTATCAAGGGGTTCATTTCTTGAGAACTGCTTTGTGTGTTTAGTTTGTTGCCTTTCCCCCGCACACTCCGGTTAGCGCATTTGGCTACGTACGGTACGAAAGAAGTTCGACGTACAGTACATACTACGGGTGGGTGGAGAGAGGGGGGGGGGGCATCTACCCCAATCACCCCCTCCCCCATCCCTGAATCCACCTCTGTGGCCTCAATAATTCCGTAGAGCTCTGTTAATCCACTGCGTGTTAAAGGAACGAAATTGACCCATGTCGTGGGGGTTGTTTGACCACCAAACGTCTCCATGCTGGTCAGTGTGTGTTGGTGATGGAGGCATTCGGCCCTGGACCGGTCCAGATATCGCTCGCAACATTCATTAGCTGGGAACAGGAATCAAATTCAGGTCACTGGATCCAGTAGCGCAGTGCTGCCCCCACCCATCGCCACCACCCACCACCTAAAATCACCGCTCCATGGCTTATGTTGCAACTATCCTGTAAAGCTACATGGGGAACCCTTACCTGTTTGCGAACGTGTCTGCCGTGGCGACCTTCATAGGTGTTTGCTAACAGCACTTGCCCCCAACAGTCTGTTCAGGCTATACGGGTGATCTTTGTCGTTGCATCTCCATCTGGGCCTGTTCAGCGACCTCCTGCCAGCGAGCCTCTGACACGTCACGTGGCACCTAGAATGGCACCAGCGCCGTGGTGAAGTCACCACCACTTGGTGACACGAGGCAGTCGTTGCTGTTGTGTATCTGTGTTGATGTGTGTTCATGTGTTCACTTGAGTGGAATCTGTGGCGCAGCAGTTAGCGCGCTGCGCTACGAACACGGCGACACCAGAGTTCCATTCCCGCTCACGGCCAACATCGATGATCACCTTGGGCATTTTGAATCTGATCACTTCACTTAGCCGTCTCAAAGCCCCATCGAGAGAGCGACTTACACACCAAATCCCGAGCGTGCGGATGCGTTGTTACACGTTGGTGACGTGATTTTAGAGCAAACTGCAAATAATTATCGTGCAACGCACTATGTTTTAGAAAATGTGATCTTTGAACCACTGCGCTCTTACCCTGTCATTAACACACAGAGATGTCATTTTACAAAAATTCCAGGGCTAGAAGCCAGACGAGAATCGCTTTAATATTTTATTACACATACACTTGGATATGCGGAGCAGTGGTGCAGTGAAAAGCAGGTTGCGCTCTCAACCCCAATATATGAAGCATATTCCTCGCCACGGCTAACATCAGTGGCGAGCCATGTCTGAACAAAGTACCGGATCCCCGCCCCCTTCATCAACCGCGCTGAGTAGTGCAGTAAAGTATGGTAAAACAATCCCCATGACTGCCACATAACAGCCACCTGTTAGTAACGTATGATTGTAATGCCAAACTAGGTTGTATACGTTTACTTGATTGCAATTTTCACGTCTATAATTGTACTTTAATATGAAGTAGTAGAAGTGTAACGGATGCATCAATTCAGCAATGTCCATGTTTAAGCCCACAATGCATGCATAGTATTGTGCTTGCAATAACCAATGGTTATCGATTCGTAAACATCGTATGCGTTTGGTTACTGTGACCCCTGCAGCCACTAGTGGCCGCTACATCACCACAATGTAAAACAAACGTTTTCTTGAATGGAATTTTGAGCTGAGACAATGTATGGAATATGCCACGGTGAAATAAAATGTTTTGCGTCTGGTATTAATACACACAGCAGTGTAGAGGATGGTCCACCCCCCCCCCCCCGCCCCGTAGTAGCATCATCCATCATTACAGACTCACAGTAGGACAGCCGTTTGCACGATGTGATTGAATGTTGATGTGACATCAAATATATCGTATTTGGCAAAAAAGTGAGAAACTAGAGTGATCTTTAACAGCAGTCAATGAAAGCGTTTAAAACAATTGCAGCATATCTACGCCAGTCATGGGCCTCTCCTAGGTCGACTCAGTCTTAAATAAGTACCCAGTGCAGTGTCGGGGGTCCGGTACTTAGTTCAGATATGGGAAGGCAAAGGCGGCCAGATGTGGTCCTAGCCACCCACCCACTTGTGCGTCGTACCGCCTTAATAGGTGCTCGCTAACAGCACTTGCCCCAACAGTCTGTTCACGGCTAGTATGTGGGATTTTTGTCTTTTAATAATTTTATCAACCGAGCCCAAACTGCCCTCGATTTATGATTCTTTAACAATGGATGATAACTCTACGGATGCCCTGCGCGGTGCACGGACATTCAGCCACGCAAACCCGATCCTGGCTGTCGAGGAACTCCCGTGATTAATGCGTGTCGCGTGTGCGTGTCGCGTGTGCGTGCAGGCCAGAGCCTTGGTGCGCGTCCCACCGTACCTTGACCGAAACGTCGCCGCGCCCGTGAGCGTACAGGTTTACGTCTGCAACGGAAAGCAGGAAAAGAGCCAGAACCACACCCTCACTTACCTGCCGCTCACAGGCAAGCGACATTCACGCCGGACATCTTGCTGCAGATGAACATGCAGCGACACTCCTCGTTATCCGTCCACCGACGAACTTTCACCTCTTGTCCGCCGCTCGCCCCAACGCAGATATTATTTCCATTATTCACCACTCGATCTTTTAAATAAAAACGTCTGTTGTACTGATACACACACATAGGTCTCAGACACACACACACACACGTGCAAAGCACACACGTGAATGTCTGTGGTTGTTCATGTGTATGTTTGGGGGGAGCAGTAGTGTAATGGTTTGCGCACAACACCACGAACTCGGCAATCAGAATTTGATTCCCGCTAACAGCCAACATCGGGAGAGAATATCTGAACCGATCCTGGGCCTCCCCTAAGTGGACCCAACATTTAATGAGTAACCGGTGTTGTGGGTAATCAGCAGTGGGGAGATAAAGGTGGCACGGGCATGGTGCTGTCCACCCGGCACCTCATGCGCCGTGCCCGCCTAATTAAGTGCTCGCTGACAGAAATTGCCAACAGTATGCTGAAGGCTAACAAAAGGGAATCTATATCTTTGTATATGTGCATATTCAAAGACGAGGGCCTGCGTTTGATTTCAAGGGGGAATGTTTAAAATGTTTTTTTTTATTTGTAATTCATGTACTAGATTATAAAAGACCATTATTAAATAAGAAATATCTGTTCGTATTTTCCATATAATTCAGCTGGAACTCATTTATTCTTATTATTGATTTCCACTTGTTAATGGCATCTGTCAGCTAAACATTCAACAGGGCTGTCTTACCAGCCATCTAGGGTTACTTTTATCACTGTGAAGTAGAAGAGCAGGTAATCAGCTGATCAGGACTTGCTTTGATCTTGATCGTAGCAAGATCTGATCGATGCACAATTTAAAAAGAATCCACTAACGTAAATCTTAAAAATAAGATGGGATCCCATTCCAAGCATGCGCTTCTTATGTTTACCATTCACAATATTGTCAGTATATATGGACAAATAAATACGCCACGAAACCATAACAACGTGTAAATATTGTGGGGTTGAAACAAAAATGTACCGCTAGCATGAATGATATAACAGCATTTTCAGTGAATAAAAAGCACAACAAATCTTGATGATCCTTTGAACATTCGCGCCAAAGCATTTCAAAGCGGCAAATTGCACGCACTGAAGCAAAAATAAAAACGCAATTGGAAGAACACCAACTAAATATAATTGCAAGAAATAGAACTTGCATTCAATGTGGATCAGCTGGTGGCTTACGCCTCACGCGATCAATTTTCATGTTTTTTTTTAGGGTGTGGGGTGGCGGTTGTTAAAGCCAATAAATTTGCCACAACAGTGCCTGCCCTGCATAGATAAGCCCAGCGTGCTTCTAAAACAGCCTCCGTGGTAACAGCCCTTATCAGATAAAAGCTCTTACTGGGAGCCGTGTCAAAGTATAGTTCACACTTTCGATGGCGAACAAGTTAGAAACATACGTTCTATAAATACAATTAATAGTTTGGGATTTTTCTCACTTTTTCGAAGCTTGGGTGTACCATCAGCCGAACATTGGTGGAGCTTTGCGCATCGTGTTATTTCAAATTTAGTGGAGGGCTTATTATAAATAAGACATCGAGTGATGAAAAGGTGTGGGCAGTAAAGGCACAAGTGTGAAAAGGTATTACAGCGATTCGTTTTTTTGCCTTACCACTACATGTATAAAAAGCCAGGAGAATATAAACTAAACGAAGACTTATTTTACATTTTATCAGATAAAATAGGCCTAAGTGGCACAAAAAATATACAGCATATGGTAAAACTGCAACACACGTGCACAGATTAAGTGTAACTGCATTTGAGCTGTTTGAGAGGGCTTGTGGCATTCAAGATTTGAACCTGGAATGAAATTACAAACACAAATTTAAAAAATATATATAATTAGAAATGTTCAATGGTACTTAAAAATAAATTACTCTTGACCTATGACACCTGTTGCATCAGGGCTAGTGACAAAAATTAACAAAATTCGCTACGGTTATTTTTCAAGGATGGCGGCTGGGAATTTACGTGAGGTTGGAATTGTACACGAGTAGTTACCAAGTATTTTACATATCCAAGATTCTAGGCACTTCATTACGGGGAAAAGCGAACGCAGTTTTGGTGACCATAAATAGACACCCCTTACCTAAAAACCGATGCGGAAACGGTCACATGTACATGTATATATATAAAAAAACGGGCGCGAGAAAGAGAGAGTTATCAAAGTGCAAGCTGAAGCTGACCAAGCCAACGACGCCGAGTTATCTCAACGAGCAGGAGTGTTGAACGTCACCAGCAGGAGGCCCTTGTGGTCTCACGATTATTCAATCCTTGGAATTCTCTGCCCCCAGCAGTTAAAAATAGTCCCTGCCACCACCCCCCCCACCCTCCCCCACCCGTTGCTGTCAGCCAAGCGCACATTTCGGTATCACGATCTAAGACGTTTCTCTCATTATAAGCCGCGAAATGCTGATGGCTTGTCTATGCAAATGTCATTCTCATTGCGGCGATCAGTGTGGCGGTTGTTGGCCACTGCTCTTGGCACGAAAAGAGGGCTCGATTAAATTGTACGCGCCTAGGTTTAAGACACGGACACGTGGTTAACTATTCATTATGCGCGCGTATTTTAACACACACAGTGATGAGATCTTTTGTTCATTCAATAGTTAACTTTAATTTCAGCAAACGTTATCCCATTTTGCTTACGATCTAGCGCTTACTGAAGACTCGATGTACACGAGGGCTGCTGCATTGTAATTTCTACATTATCCAATAAAATGTACATTTCACCATGATGTTTATCGTGCAATTAGATTCCGTTAATTTTGCAATTGTATTTAGCATGTTGATAGTCTTGTTTTTGTGCCTTTATGTACATCAAGTATGGGATAAATACAGCTGAAACGTTATTCAACTGCAGTTCACTCAACATAAGCCTGCCATGGGTCTCACGTATGTATGTAGAACTTATTTCGCACCATACGTAGCCAACCGTGCTAATCGGAGGTTCGGGGGAAGGACAACAAACTAAACACAAAAAGCAGTTCTAAAGAAAATATATAATCATTGAAACTTTACCATCGGCTCACAATGCGCCTCGCTGTTAGAAAAAACGATTACGTTTTGAATTGGCGTGTGTCATTTACGCCACAAAACGATTTACAGGGTACTACTTTAAAGGGCAATATATATTTTGGCGTCCTCTGGTCTAACACCGTTTGAGACGAGGCTCGAAAGAAAGCCGTCTCTGGTGTGGACCAATCAGTTTCAAGGACAATGCATATATTATCAGAGTATGTTTCTTGTTTGCAATTTGACCACAAGCATTGTGGTTAATGCAGACATGATTCCTTGTAAAAGGTTTCAGTTTGGTGTTTTAGCATCTTAACACCTGTTTTGTTGCCAGAAAAAAGGGGAAAACCTATCCTCATATATATTTTTGTAAGCTAATTATGGTTATGAACTCTTTCTTTTGCAAACATTGTCACAAATTTACGAGAACTTCAAAGACCAGCAATAGTAAAAAAATGACGGTATTTTACAAAATGGACAATCCGTTTATCACGGTTTATATATCGTACAATGTTTCACGGTTTCGCCATATCATACATTTATTCGTAAATATTTCAATTGCACAATGCTGACGCTGCTTAAAAAAAAACACTGCCCTCTATCTCGGTGTTTAGGTGTTCCAATAAAGCAGGAGACGCCGTGCGAGTTCGCCCACCAGATCGTGCACACGTTCAGACCCGCGTCCCCGCTACCTGCCACCACGTACGGCGGCAGCAGGGCCTCCCCGTCGCCGCCTCAGCCGATGGCGTTCTCCGTCTCCCGCGGCGTCGTCTCGCCCCAGCCGCTCGTCGTCCCCGCGAGGCTCTCGTCATCTCCTTCCGAGCTGATCACCATCTCCGCCCGTCTCTCCCCGTCCCACAAAGCGGCGGCGGCGGCGGCGGCATCACCCGGAAGCTCCCCGACGCTCGCGGCCGGTTCCGGCGCGAGGCTCTCGGCAAGCCCCGGCCGGTCGTCCGCTTTCTCCTCCGCTGCCGGCGTGCCGTCGCCCCGGTCGTGCTCCCCCTCCGCCTCGGGCGGCGGCGGCGGCGGCGGCGGCGGCGGCGGCATCTTCTCCCCGCTCCGCGGAGTCGCCCACGCCGCCCCGGCGAACGTCGCGGCATTCGGCCCCGCGGGCCAGCAGCAAGCATTCGCCACCGACGTCCCCGACCGGGCCTCCCGCCTGTCCTTCGGGCCGGATTGCGGCGCCCAGCCTCCGACCCTGCTCGTGGGCCAGCCCGCCCGGTGGCCCGAGGGCGGGGGCCTCCGCCGTCCCGTCGCCATCTCCGGAGCCGCTCCGCCCTCCGCGGGCCGGGCCGACGCCTCGCGCTCCTACCGGATGGCGCAGCCGACGCCGCCGCTGCCGCCGAGCGGACACCGGTCGGGCCTCGACGCGTCGGGGCAGCGGACGCCGTCCGCCTACGGGGCGATGCCGGCGTCCGGCGGAGCAGAGGTCGCGGGGTCAAAGGGCTCGCCCGGCGAGAGGCCGCCATTTGGGCCGGCGGGAGGGCGGGGGGCGACCTGCGGCGTGCCGTTTGGAGAGGCGCCCGCGTGGAACCCGGCGGCGGTGAAGGAGGAACCCCCGGACGGAGACGTGTTTGGCATAAAGGAGTTCAGCATGCTGGAGGATGGTAGGTGACCGCGCATCAGTTTCCATAACAATTACAAAGAGCCCTGCCACCCCAGCGGGCGCTGTGACCTCACAGCAAGGTTAGGGTCGGCGTTTGCGTGCGTGCGTGTGTGTGCGTGTGTGTGTGTGCGCGTGCGTGCGTGTGTGTGTGTGCGTGTGTGTGCGTGTGTGTGTGCGTGTGCGCGTGTGTGTGTGTGTGCGTGCGTGTGCGCGTGTGTGTGTGTGCGCGTGTGTGTGTGTGTGTGCGTGCGTGTGTGCGCTAGCGAGCTGTGACGCGCGTAGGACGGTGAAATTCGGCACCAAAATCTCCTTGGGCAATGGACGGAAAGGCCATTTCCAGTAACTGGACTGACCTCAAACACCCACATCAACCGGAGGCTCTTAGCAGAGCCATTGGCTCAAGTTAGTCAGCCAACGTAATTTTCCTTCAAAACCCCGACGATTACATTGCAGACCTCGAGTCTGCAATGTGCGGTCAGGTGCTCGGACCAGATCTCTGCCCATATCTATAACAATAACTGTTAGTCATAGGGTAGTGGGAAATGTTATTATTCCCAGTAGCTTGCACACATCTATACAAGAGCGAGCTGGATTTATAGAAATAGGGCATGCTATATATATTTTTTTATGATCAGTAAGGAAAATTTTATTTTTTCTTTGTCGAGTTCGATTTAATTAATGGAAAGGTGTTCGTGAGGATGTCCACACAGTGGGTGTTACGATTTTCTCGGACACTGTTTAAAAGTACTCATTATTTAAATGTTGAATGTTCCAGTTTGGCTACAAAAATAGAACACAAATATAATGTTGACCAATATGTCACAATAAAAATGACAGCCAAAACGCAGGATTTTTTACAATGGTGACTTAAAGTTACAGTGTTTTCTCTCAAACACTTTAAACACCTTGGAGCACATGATATATATTTATCTACACAACTGCAAACCACTGCTCCTTTGTGGATATTTGGCTCGTGATTAGCCATATGTTTTACAGCCCAATATGGGAACTTGCCCAATCGTCTCGTGTGCAAGAGTGAGATCAATTGTTACATCGCCAGACCCAGAGATAACATCGGCTTGGGCAAGCTTTCATCCAGCAGTGGATGAAGGCGCGTGCCCTGAAGACTGGATATATCCAGGCGTATGCCTTCACCCACTGATGATAATTATGATGATTAAGAATGAATAATGAACGGACAAAGACCAAAACAACCCAACCGTTATAACCCATGTATGGCCAAATGGGGGCCTTGAATTATGGATTACACTCAAGTGATAACATTGTTGTCTACATCATCAGAATTAATGCTGGCAATTGAACACTTCGGCTGTGGTCTGTTGAAGATCGCCTCAGGGTGTGAGAAGGAAGCAGAACCAGGAGACCCCGCCCCCAAACTTTGCGTGAAGAAATGTTTCTTTGCGTTTTTATTTGTCGCTTGTGCGCTCTTTATCCTGATGGCACGTTTTTTGTTTCTCAGTTTCAGAGATAATACGAAGAGATCTTAATGACCTCCCGGCATCTTAAGAGTACAAGAAACAAGTGTCCGAGCGTGCATTTTCTCCAACGCTGAAAGTATGCCAGTGGGATCCCTGAAAATAGTGAGCGAATTCAAGGGTGCAACTGCCCTGATATAACCTGGTTATTAACAAAACTCCATTATTTCCACGAAGACCACGTCTATCAAACCTGCACATTGAAATGCCATTCATATTGTCTATTATATTATAAGATAAACAAAAAAAATCGATATACGATAGAAAGGTTAAATATCTCTATCTGAAGCCACCGAAAGTGACAAGCCGTTCATGTTTTGTTTGGACACGGTTGAGAGTCGAGATGGAGAGAAACCAGGGCTTCTCTTTGTCGGGTCTCTAGTGAGGTACTTGCTTGGGACGCTACTAAAACTAAACTATGTTTATTTTAGCAGCTAAGGCACACTGAACTCTGCAGCTCTTTTTTTCAGAAGCGTCCTGGCCACAAATGTTACCTCAACGAAGTGGCTTATCGTGTGGAAATTTATCGCAGCCAAATGCTCTAAACGCGTGATTCTCAATGTGAAAAATCCACGCGACCACGGGCAGAACACGCAAACTCCATATATACAGGCGTCAGAGTTGGGATCAAACCCACGACCTCCTGCATACCACGCGAGATAGTTAACATCTCACCACCCTGGCGCCCACCGATTTACCATGTCTCGTGCCATTGTTATGTGCAGGACATGGTTCTATCCGGCCATGTCTCTTTGATGACACTGTATAATGTAGCATGCGTCACCTGTTTCTGAATACTGTTTGCTACTAGACAACTCAGGTTCCATAAATGAAAGTTACATATTGTATTCATTTTGTTTTCAACGTTTATTTTTTATACTTAAGTATATTTTTCTATAGAGTGCTTAGAATCGACGTCAAAGCCTGTTGAATAGACAATATAAATGCAGCAGTATAAATAACCGCTCTTCGTAATATGTTATAAGTATATATTTTATGACATATTTCAATGTAATATCTTGTGTGTTTATAATATATATTTTAACGAGGGCTTAATGTCAACTTCAACGCAAAGCCCCCCAGACCCACACCAGGGATGTGGGTATGTAGGTGGGCAGAATTTTTTTTTACAGCATTCAGCCCTGGACGCAACTCCGGCTGAAATTAAGCACCGATTTAACACATGCGTCGGTTTTACACGTGCAAATTAAAATTTATAACAACTGTGCCTCACGTACGTTCTGATATCTTGCCTGGGAACCAAGTTTGTAAATCTTTGATACCATAGAATTACCACTAGATGGCGAAAGTGTTACACTTACTGTGTTACCCTGCACTGCATGGAATTGAGTTTGAGTTAGCCCACTCAATACCGTGCAGTATTTATAACGGAGAATAGTTCAGCACTGGATGTCATGTGTGCGCCGTGTGTGTGTGCGAGTATAGCTGCTACAAAACATATTGGTCGTGAAAGCCGACGTAGAAAATTGCTACAATTTTTGTTTGTAAAAATAATAATAAACCAGACAGACTTAATGAGTTACCATAACCGATTATTAATATCCAGGGGACAATAAGCAGGGGGGATTCAACCCCCAATCGCCCAGGTGCCACCCTCGAGGGGTGACTGAGAGTGAGGCAGTGAAATATATTTTGGAGCTCAGGCCCAAGACAGCTCCGACTGAGGTTAAGTCCCGGACACGACGTCATGTATGTGTGCTGCTTGCAAATGACACACGTGTGTGTGTGTGTGTCGTAATTTAAGTAAATACATTTGGTGATACAAGGAGGCAGGGGGGGCACAACCAGAACTCACGTAATTCACAACAAACGTAATCTCACCGCCTGTGAGTCCAGTCGCAATGTTTGAGTAATTATCTGATCACAGCCGACGAGAGAAGGGCTGATTCTTGTCGGATGGAAACCAGAAGGGGCTGAAGGGCTATGGTATCGTTGATGACCTTTGACCTAGGTAAACAAAAAAAACACGTTTGGATGATCATGGTGAAAATTGGAATTTAGATATGGCATTAGGTTTTTATTTTATTACAATAATGGGGAGGGGCGGGGATGGCATGTAGAGGGGGTTTCTCGCAGATAATCTCCCCCGATGAGTTTCCTTATGACTCGAGATGGAAACATGGGCCTGGAAATACACGAGCAGTCAAATGGAAGCTGGGGGTTGAGGGAGTGGGGGAGCAAGCCACGTGCTGTGCCCAATCATTAATTACATCGAAGCTACCTGATAGCCATCACTAATATTCATCACTTATGTTAATAATAATAAAACTTCATTAGACCTCCTTTGCCAGTACCAAAATGTAATAATAGGGTTTTTCCCCTTTTTTCTGGCAACAAAACTGAAACCTTTTTTTTACAAGGATTCATGTCTGCATTAACCACAATACCTGCAGTCAAAATGCAAACAAAAAACATACTTTTCGATTTAAAGCTTTCGTGACTGCAATGATTCATCTTCTTTGGTTCTTTCGGTAAAGTCACGTAGAATGAGAATAAAATAATAAATTGCTAAAATAAAATAACAATAATATTCTCACGACGTTTCGGCCACAACACAAGCGGCCTTCATCAGGTGAAGGGACGAGACTGTCTGGTAGGACAGCGCTGGAGTGACAAAGCCACGTTCTCGTCCCTTCACCTGATGAAGGCCGCTTGTGTTGTGGCCGAAACGTCGTGAGAATATTATTGTGTTATTTTATTTCATCAATTTATTATTTTATTCTCATTCTACGTGACTTTACCGAAAGAACCAAAGAAGAAGAAAAAACATACTATGATAATATATGCATTGTCCTTGAAACTGATTGGTCCACACCAAGGGACGGCTTTCTTTTAAGCCTCGACCCAATTGGTGCTCGACCAGATGACGCCAGAAGTCGTCATCTGGTCGAGCACTCATTCAGTTTTGTTGCCCGAAAAAAGTGGAAAACCTTTTATTAAATAATAAAACTGTAATGTCCTTAACCCAGCAAAGCCTCAAAACATTTTCCGGACAATCTTGGATTGCAATGCTTCATCGTTTCCATCCGATAATGAGTGGCTGCATGGGGGTGAAAAAAGGAAAACAAATCTCACATTCACGAGCACAAGCGTATATGTCAGTAACACTCAAAGCTCCGCACAGATAGACTCAGGAATTCATTGCTGTATTGCCACCAGCTTCTGGCCACCTCTACTCGCCCCCCCCAGTATCAAGATTGTAGTTTTAGTTGAAAGAGAGAAGTCGTGAAAAGGCGTGGCCCGTTGCGAGAGCCTGCGGTGGGCGATTAGGGAGCTGATTTGGTCTCAAATGACTCACGGGGGAGATCTTGAAGATATTTGCGCGGGCAGTTTAACATCAAACTCCACACAAATCAATGAATCGTGGACCGTCCGTCAACATTATATCCTCAAGCGCAGCGTGAGTGTCCGTTTTGCGGGAAACATTTGTGATCTAGATTGTTGTACAGAAACGCATATTAAACATACTCGTTACTACATTGTGCCAAAATGACACGCACTTGTGTCCGCTTGTTTTATTCCCCCCAAAAACTTCACAATGTCAAAACAGAGAGGAAAGAAATGTGTTACATTCTGAGATCTTAAATAATTATAATCTGCCGTGATCAATCCACTGGTGGATGAAAGCATCCCCCAAGATATCACCACCCCATCTCTCCACCTTCGATCCTGGCATGCAATAATCTGAGAACCACCACCTAAACTAAACTGTTGTTCATTTTACCAGGTAAGGCCCACTGAGCTATATAGCTCTTTTTTCAGAAGCGACCACAAATGATAGCCCAATTAAGTGAATTATCGTGTCGAAATTTATATCAGCCAAATTCTATAAATGCTTGTTTCTAAATGTGGAGCCGGAGGACCCAGACAAAAATCCACACGACCACGTGGAGAACAAACTCCAAATATACAGCAGGAGTCAGGGTCGGGATCGAAACGACGACCTCATGTATACTAGGCGAGGTAATTAACATCTCACCTCCGCGGTGCCCCTGCAAGCGTGGCCAATTCATTGTTCCATTTTTTTAGGATGCACAGGATCTTCGATCTTAAACGGTGCTAGTTTTTGGAGAGAAAAAAAAACCCCAACAACTATAAAACCCAACGCGAACAAAGATAACAACGTGGCCGTAAGAGGAGCTGTCCTCGGTTCTCTCGTGAAATGTGTCGTGGCGTTGCCGTGGATCCTGCGTTGCAGACGGTTTACAAACGACAACGGACAGACGAACCCGTAACGGTGTTATTTGTACTGGCACATGCACACACCGGCGTGAGTGCAGTCTGTGCTGTACAGACGTCTGCTTCACTCTATACACCGTGGGTGGCGGCTTACTTAATAAACTGGATCAATCAAGATTCACCCACGCCAATTTGCAAAAGGCAGGCTCGCAAAGCAGCCTCGTGCCGTCTGTGCATTATTACGACGGCCCTGTAAATGCAGTTCTTACTACGGTGGGGTATTTTTTTTACATCAAATGCGATGGGTTTTTTTTAGCAAAGGGATCATCTTTCTGGGGGAAAAAAAAACCTTAGCTGGAGCGGGGACGCAGTGGTTAGCTATCCCAGTTCGATTCCCGGCCACGACTACGGCTAAGATCAGTGGCTAGCGACATTATAATCCAATCTCAGTGGTTCAGCCATTTGAGTTTTGATTCCAGGCCACGGCCAACATCAGTAGCGAGTGATATCTGAACCGATCCCCTACTGCTCAACCTACTCGCACTGCACAGCGTGGTGAAGTATGGTCAAACAAACCGGCACGGTATAGGAATAGGTTTTACCCTTTTAACTGGCACAAAAACTGACACCTTTATTCAAGGCATCATGTTTGCAATAACCACAACACAAGCAGTCAAAATGCAAACAAAAAAAACAACTCTGATAATAATATTGGCACTGTCCTTGAATTTGATTGGTCCACACCCGAGACGAGACGACATGATGCCTTGAATAAAGGTGTCAGTTTTTGTGCCAGTTAAAAGGGTAAAACCCATTCCTATATCTTGTTACTGGCAAAGGAGGTCTCATAAACCGGCACGGCTTTAAGGGTAGCATTCAGGCAGCAGTGCATTGACTAATGGCTGTAAGCTATTATTTAATCTCGTGCTTTTTTACATTTAATGTCACGGTCACGATGTTTGCCGATAATTTGACCGTAAGGCAAATCGGCGGCAACATGTCATTATGTTGTTTGTTGATGTCTTGCAACGATATCAGGTTCCACGAGGCGTCGAGTTTGCTTTAAAGACGCAATTTCCTGGCGGAGAGCTCGAGGGATATGCGACAACAACAACAACAAAAAAACACACAAAACCTCCCGCCTCCCGCGGATTAATCATTCATCACCGCCGGTCCTGTCATTGCCTTGCGGACGCTTTTATCTTGATAATTAACGAGGGGCCAAAGGTGAACCCTCGTGCCAATGTGCTCAAGGGGGAGCGCCGAGACGTCCCGTCGTACTCACGGGACTGCGACCCCCGCCCTCCACGTCCCCCTGGATTTTAAAG